ATGCACACGTCTTTCAGGTTGGGACTTTTTATGTCCATTTTGTTTTTATCCCCATTTCTATAAGGTCTCCCGTATAGTTGGGGATTATTAACCTAGAGCCAAAATGAAAAACTGATCATGGGTGTAGTTCATACACAGTTTGTGTATATAAGCATGCAGACTTGGACTTTGGTTCTGCATAGTTAAAAGGCAAAGGCTAGTTTTTTAAAAAAATTGGATGGATGGGTTAGTTTTGAGAAAAAGTCACAGAGCTTTCTGAAAGCACATAGCATTCGGGTCTTTGTTGGGATTTGTATTTTAAAATCTCAAGTCTGTAGTGTATATTAACTTTTGAGCCAACGAGAAGTAGCCCATGTGTTAGAGAAGGTCCATTCTTTATGAATCTTAGCTGTCACCTAGTACAACACTTTAATTTTGGAGTTGAGGAAATTGCAGCCAGAGAGGTTAAATGATAGATGTGTGAGGTTTTGCAATTAGTGACAGAACTGGGACTAGAACCCGTGACCCCACTCCGACATCAGTGCTCCTTCGTCTATGGGAAATTGCATGGCCTGGGAAGCAGGACTCATTTCTCGTGAGGTAGCACATTAGTCCCTGTCTCATGCCAAGGCAGTGGAAACACACCTGGACACAAATTGCAGAAACGTTTTAATACCACTCTTGATTTCCTTGGACATTGAAGAGGTTTCTGGCCATCCTCCCCTGCTACCCCCTCCTCCCCACTGAACAGTTGGTGCTTACTCATGCCATGTAAACAATTTTAATAGGATTCTAAAAAACCTCATTACATAGTTGACCTCCCACCTTCTTAATCCCACTCTACTCTCATTCTCCGAGTATCCTAGACATTTCAAAGGCCAGCAGGACAGGCCAATGCCAGACTGCTTGTCACCTGACTGCTTGTTGCCACAGATCCCTAGCAGCCACAGAGCTGAGGGTTAAGTTTACGGATTGACAATGCACTGATCTGATTACTAAATATTTGTTTGACATTAGTTGTGGTAGTTAAAAAACCCCCACATATTATCACAATACCTTAGTATAATGCGATGAAAGTTGAGATTGATAAACACTGTGGTCTTCCATCTACATGGAGCTAAGGTTGACTTCATACTACTTGTCTTTAGGAGATAGAACAATCAGTTTGAGTAAAAATGTATTCAGTGCTTAACATGCTTTTTAATATAGCTTTGAAAATATTTACTTTAAAACATGTTGAAAAGTTGCTTTGAATACATAAAACTGCTTTGGAAATTTCCTTCTTCCGTGATATTTAGGTAAAAATAAGATAATTAATGTTCTGTTTTAGGGACTGATACTCTTTTCCTCCATTAGAACATTTTTTTCCCCTCTGGTATCTTATATGATTGGGATGTGCAGTAAGTAATGTGTTGCCATGGCAGAATCTTATTTAAGTTTCTGTATTCTTTGGAAGCCTTCAGTTGCTTTACGTCTGGATTCTTCTCTCTACTTCTTTTATTTCTTTTTGGCTACTGAGCATTTGCTGTCTCTTTGTTTTGTTGCTGTTTCCTCACTCCCCTGGTTGACCCCTGTGTTCTTAAGCTGTCAAATACCTTTAGTACAGACTCAGAGAGATCACTTAGAGAAAAGTCTTTTATTTCTCTCTGCCAGGAAGGTAGAAAACAGTTCAAAACAACAGGGCATCTTCCTGGTTTTAGTGACATCTGAAAAGAGATTTAAGTTTCTTCTATTTGACGTTGATGGAATGTGTACTTTGTGTCAGGACCCATGTTAGTTCTTTTTTAGAGAAAAGGTGAGGAAATATGTAGATTGTTAATTTTTTTAAACTTAATCCCTGTCTCCTCCCACTCCCCCTCACCAAACTAAATTGTCTATCAGGTAGTCCTTCAGGCTTAGAGAAATGAATGTATATTGCACAGGTCTACCTTTCAATCACTGTGCAATCCCCAACTTTTTCCTCTTTACTTTTTCTTAAGCTTTTTTGTATCTTAAAACACTCTTCCTTGACTCTACATTCCCCTTTATCTACTAGTACTACACCCTTTTCCTTTATAGTCAAGTTTCTGGAAAGAATAGTTTATATTTAGTGTCTTTATATTTCTCTTTTTCCAGTCATCCTTTTCTCAAGTCTACATACATTTCCTTTCTGTCCAACAAATGAAATTATTTTAACAAGATTATTATATGTTGTTGCATAACTAACCACACAAAAACTTAAGGGCTGAAAGCAGCAACAACCATCTATTGTCTCTCCTGATTCTGTGGTGATTGGGCTCAGCTGGGCAGCTCTTCTGCTGCACGTGGCATTGGCTGGATTGCAGTCATCTGTAGGCTCAATGAGATTGCAACATCTGAGATGGCTTACCCACATGGCTGAAGGTTGGTGCTGGGGTCAGCCAGGAGGTCAGCTGGGGCTGCTGACCAGAATGTTTTGGTTCTCCTCCACATGGTCTCCTCATGTAGCTTGAGTTTCTCACAGTATGATGACTGAGTTCCCAGGGTGCCTTCCAAGTACAGAGGCAGAAGCTAAGATCTCTTAAAGATTAGCCTAGGACATTGCAATGATCTCACTTTCTCCCATTTTCTTTTGGTCAATACTGCTCACCCAGCCAGCCAAATTAAAGGGGAGGGGAAAGTACAGTCTGTTTCTTGATAGATTTGTGGCATGCTGCAGACATCTAGTAAACACTGTCACTAAAGATATCCTGATTAACCCAACCAGTTCTCTATAGCATTAGCACTATTGGCCAGTCTCCATGATTTATTGATGCTGCTGTCTCCTGCTTCTCTTTCTGTCTCTTTGCACACTCATCCTGAGAGTTCTTCACTCGTACTTCTTTCCCTCCTTGCTCCTGGCATACTGGTGTTCTCCAAGATTCTTGACCTTCTTATCTTTTCATCACCATAACTTTGTTAGAAAATCATATCCACACTCATAGTTTAACCTTTGATTTATTCATTCATTTGACAAATATTTATTGAATAGCTGATATGCATGTACCATCTGCTGGATGGAAGTGGTGCTGACATAATGCCAAAAGATACCATTCATATTGTAGTTTTTATGTTGAGAGTCTTGTTTGATTTGTCTATGTCTATGTCCATGTGTGTCTATGTCTATATCCTATCAGTGGTTCTCAATGGGGAAAGGAGGATTTTGTCTCACAGGGAATGTTTGGCAATGTCTGGAGACATTTTCATTCTTACAATTTGGTGGTGAGGAGCTACTGGCATCTAGAAGGTGGAGACTAAGGATACCACTAAAAACTCCACAATGTGTAGGACCACCCCTCATAATGAGAATGATCTGGCCCATAAAGTCGATTTTGCTGGGTTGAGAACATGCATCTATATCTGTCAGAGTGGTCTGTCTGCCACTTCCACCTGTGTATTGACACACCTCTAAATCCAGCACATCCAAAACCTCAGCTGGTGGTTGTGTTGTTGTTCTTTCAACCTGCTCCTCCTGATGCATTCCCAGTCTCTGGGAATGCTGCTATAATCCACTGGACTGCCTCCAGGCTTGCATAGCTCCAATCCACTTTGCACACTGCTGTCAGAATGATGGATTTTTCAATGCTGCACAGACAGTGAAACATTCCTCTCTCCTGATTTGAAAGTCGTCAATGATTCTCCACGGACTTGAGATAACATTTAGGCTCTAATGTGGTCCACAAAATATTTTATGACCTGATTTTTTTGCTCATTTCTCATTATGTTTTCCCAGTCCTTTTTAGTTCAGCTATACTGGCTGTCTTGTGGTTTCCAGAATGTGTGATGCTTTCTTATGCCTCTTGGCCTTTGCATGTGCAGAAATGTCTCTATCCTAGGGAGCAGGGCCAACCTTCCTTCAAGTCTAGGCTTGAGCCTCCTCCTCCTGAAAGCTTTCTTGTCACCCCACCACTTCCCCTCCTCAACCCCAGGCTATAGTAGACAGCCTCCTTTTTGTGACTTCTCTGAAATCCCATAAATGCTCCTGTATTTGGGGACCCATAAACCTGATGCCTCTGTGGCAACTGTTATGCCATTCTCTCATATTTACATTTTCTGCTCACATCCTGCCAGACAGTCTGTGAGGTTTTCTGAGGTTACTAAGTAATATTTGCCTCCACAGTGCTGGCACATATTTGGGGTTTAATAAATGTTTGTTGATTTAAAGAAGGGCTCTAAAGGGGCCACCTTTCCTCTTCCTAGTAGGAGTTACTGGCTGGCATTAAAGATAATCTGCTTATTTCAGGAAAAGAAGTTGAATGTTTCACTGGTGGCAAAGTTGTTGAATAAATTATGATGAATCCATACTGGATATTTTGCAGCTATTATTTGGGTTGGAATGGTCTGTATTAAACCAGAAAGAAGTCTATAATGTATTGTTAGGGAAGAAATGCATGAAAAAGTTTTATAGTATGATATGAATATAGATGTTTGTATATGTTTGCATATGTTTGTATGAGCATAGAGTATATGAAAATATAAGCTTCAAACCATCACCTTTGGTTACATTTAACATGCTTTATAACTGTAATTAATAAACAATAGTCAAAAAGTAAACGATATTCAGAAACTAATTTCAAGAGCAGATATGAACCTGTAGACAAACAATGAAGAATAGGAGATGTTGTAGAAGAATATTACTTTATTGACTTAGAAAAATGTTTACAAAAGTGGAGATTTCTTTTTTCGTGTATGTGTCTGTTGGATGCTTTTATATGCATAGAAATAAATCTGTAAAAATTTAGAACAAAATGTTAACAGTAATAATTTCTGGATGGCAGGTGATTTTTATTTCTTCTTTTGGCTTATCTGTATTATGCAATTTCAAAACAATGAGCACATCTTATTTTCACAAAAGAAATCGCATTATCTCTAAAAATAGAAGATAGTACATAAAAACTGGTACTATTAAGCTGTCTCTTGTTCAAATACCTAAGACTTGAGAAAACAATAGTATGGAATTATTACAAAATGAATCCGTCTGAGAACAGCAGTTGCCAGATAACGTTTTTCTTTCTTTCTTCTAGCAAAGACTGAAGGAAGAGCAGGAAGCCAAGCGGGCACGTTTGGACGGGAGGCATGGCTACTTATTTGCGATTTTAGCTTCCTGTTTGGACCTGAACAAAACCGAGGTGGAAGATGCCATTCTTGAGGGGAATCAGGTGCGCTGCATCTGCATCCTTACCGGCTTGATTATGGAGGGCACAGATGGTCTGCTGACACTGTCCTGTGGCAGGACCTCAGGCTGTGCCCAGAGGAGAGTGGCTGTTTTAACAAGGACGGGGCTCTGTTCTGACTCTGTTCTGGTGCTGGCAGAACGAGCTCACGGCTCTCCAGCTCTCAGTGTTGGACAGGGGAACTTATGGTTGTCATCTGAGTTCCACAACTCTGATGACAATGTCTGTATCCTCTACGTCCAATGAAGCTGGGCTCTTGTGCCACTTTGGAAGCTGAGGTTGGGGAACAGAATCTCCTCTCAAGCTGGGGGATATCTCTTTTGTGTTTACCTCATTCTAGGCCTAGAGACTGACTTGAGCCTTGGTTTCCTGCGTTTGACTTTGGTTTGACAGCTGAATCTAGTTTCTTTTGTTCCTAACCTTGACTTCCATTTTCTGCTATGATTCCTTCTCCAAATCTGGGATGTGATTTGCTTGGTGATTTGACCTTGGAAGTAGAAGGACGAAATACATGAGAATACATAATTTCCTAGATGGTGAGGAAGATCGATCAGGAGCCCTGCGATGATTCCTGAAGTTGCTGTTGTTTTGTTGTTTTTAACCAATTAGGCATTAGAAAAAGAAAGAAAGCCCTTTTCGTTAACAGGGTGCCACACCGTTGATAATGCATATCAGTGGTAGGCTTGTCAAATGTTTAACAACTGGCTTTGGGCACTGTGTCTGTGTGGGAACTAATTTGAGGTTAGCTGATTTCTCTGATGTAAATACTCCTGCCATGGCTGATTTCACACTACCAACATGATGTTACTAAATGCTGAGCTGGAAAGAGTTGTCATCGATTGGATCACGTGAGCCAGTCCAAGCTGGCTCCAGCACACTGCTGGTTTCATGTCTTCCTGCAGGGCTGCTCTGGAGCAGCTAACACGAGTCAGGGGAATAATTATGGGTGTATAACACTAATAGGTGTAAATACAGAATAAATCAAGCACTAGTTGTGGAAATGTCTTTCTCCTCTTTTTCCCTTCTTCTCATAGTTAGCTTTTATTGAATGTTTACCACGTGTCAGCCCCTGTCCCTAGTGATTTTCATCTATTATCTCATTTAATCTTCATCATACCTGGTGGTAGATAATATCATTCTCCAAACATGGAGGTGTAGAAGGAGACAGGGTCAAATAGCTGATTCAGCCTTGGGGAGGTCATTCCAGAGGTGAAATGCGTAATTCCACCCTGCCTCCCCATTCAGACATCTGGATTTGGGATAATGCAGGTAGGATAAATGAGCAAAAGTTCAGAACCGTAGAAATCCCAAGTTAGACTGCTATGGCAAATTCAGGACCCAGGAATATCAGAACCTGGAGGTTTAGAGAAAGCATCTAGCTCAGGCTTTCAAGCAAGTCTAGAGGGGTAGCAGTTATAATTCTGTCTGTGATGGAAGCATCTTCTTCATGACATTCTTGGCTTGGGAGTTAATCTCAGCAAATCCTTCCTAACTCATCCCTGTAGCATCCTCAATCAAGGAAATATAACAAACAAAACAGGGCAACTTGCTTTTCCTCGCATGTAATGGTTTAACATTTTGTCTGTAGTGTGGTGGAAATTGAAAGGGGCTTATTTTCACACTTAAATTTTCAGGCTAAATTTTATTCTTTAAAAAATTATTTTAAATTGGGGTAAAATACACATAACAGAAAACCTACCATCTTAACCATTTTAAGTGGTGCAGTAGCGTTAAGTACATTCACATTGGTGCGCCACCAATCTTCAGAACTCTATTTATCTTGCAAACAAAAATTCTGCATCCGTTAAACAACAGCTCCCCTTTCTCCCTTCCCTGGAAACCACCATTCTATTTTCTGTCTCTATGAGTTTGGCTGCTGTAGGTTCCTCATATAAGTGGAGTCATACAATATTTGTCTTTTTGTGACTGGTTTATTTCACTGAGCATGATGTTTTAAGGTTCATCAATGTGGTAGCATGTGTTATTTCCTTCCTTGTTAGGGCTGAATAATATTCTGTTGTGTACATATACCACATTTTGTGTGTCTATTCATCCATTGCTTTCACCTCTTGTGGACTCTATTGTGAGTAATGCTGCTATGAACATGGGCATACAAATATGTCGTCGAGACCCTGCTTTCAATTCTTCGGGATATATATCCAGAAATGAAATTGCTGAATCATATGGCAATTCTATTTCTATTTTTTTGAGGAACTGCCATACTGTTTTCCAAAGTGGCTGCACCATTTCACATTCCCAGTAACTGTGTATAAAATTTCCAGTGTTTTTACATCCTCACCGACACCTGCTATTTTGTTTTTGTTTTTTTGATAGTGGCCATTCTAATGAGTGTGTAGATTTTATTTTTTCTTCCTTCTCATATGAATTCCAAACTGAGAAAAAGTGCTTCCATTGGTGTCAGGCTCGTTGTTGGAACCCTAGACATACCATGAACTTCCTGGATGGGACTAAGCGGCAGGCTGCTCCTGGAAGGAGTGTTCGTAGTCATACGTGTTGCATGGCAGTTCTCAGTAATTATTGCAATTTAATATTACTTGTCTCCAGTGTGTTAGGCTGGGTTTTGAAAGATTTGTTCTCTCCTTCTGGTCTGCAATCGACTGGAAATGAAACACTCATCTATATTTACATCTGCTTTCAACAGCTCAACACTTTAGGAAATTAACAAAAATGGGATGATCTCTTTTCAAATGTGTATATGTAGCAGATATTTGTATGATTAATTAAATTACTTCTTTGAGTTGAATCTTTAGTATGGTGGGACATTTATTCTTTCACAGTTTTTAAGTTGAAAAAAAAATGCTCCCTTGTATATGGGATGCATTAGGTACAGTCCTTTTGAAATAACAAAGATGATAATACTTTTACTTTTTTATACTATCAATGCTGATTTAAATGCGGTTCATAATTCAGAACAAAAGTCATTACTTTGTCTTTTCTTTTTCCCAGATTGAAAGAATTGATCAACTTTTTGCTGTTGGAGGTCTCCGTCACCTTATGTTTTACTATCAGGATGTGGAGGGAGCAGAAACAGGTATCCAGATTTGATGTGACATTACCCAAAAATGTGTCATTATCTTTATCTGAGGGTGGCCTGAAGAAGAAAGCCACCATGAGAACTGACCAGGCCTCTTGCTCCTTGACGATGTGGGGGAACCAAAGAGTGGCTGCATGGAAGAGGTTCTAGCTTCACCTCCAGGACAGAGGACAGATAATGGGGGGCATTTAGTCTGGTTGCTCTAACTTTATTGGAGATGTTTGATTTTCCTTCTCAGGGTGTGCTGGTAATAAGGGGAATAATAAAGCAGAACATGTTTAGAGACTTTCTTTTCTTATATTCTAGTTCATTCTATAGAATTATGTTGTAGCACTTCTAATGGGCATCTGTTTCTCGTCTATATAGATATCATTTCTTTTTAACATATGAATTATTTTCAGTACGGAAGTGTAATATGAATTTTTCAGTTAAATATCACATTATGTTTATTTTCTACTGACTCTGATTAAATGAGTAATATTAAATGACAGGTTTTGTCATTTTCACTTAGGAAAAGTTTGTGAATATTTCTATGGATTCAACCAGCATGTATCATTCTACTTTTTAGTGTACTAATATAATTTTTAAGACCAAACTACAGATATAAATGAATATATTATTGTTATATTACAATATCATATAATCCTCTCATGACCTCTTGGAAAGGAGGGAAAATAGTTGTTGCTCTTGGCATAAAATATAACTATGTTCCTTTGTTTAAAAACTGAAGAAATTATGCATGCAAATTATAACTGACTGGCGTTTCCCCAAAGTTTTCAGTTTGCTATTTTGCATTGAGAAAGTTCATTTCATTCTGAGTGAAATATCAAAAGATGGCAGTTTTTATTTCTACCCCAGACTGCAAAACATAAACTCATATGAAATGTTAAGTTCATCTATGAACTGTGCTCTGGGTAAAGCTGGCCTCCTTGTGTAAATTTTACGTGGAGCAGGAAGGGGTCATAGGATGTAAACATAAATGCAAGTTCATTTTTGCATCTCACTCTACCTTGGGCATTCTCAGTGGGATAGTTCTTCTTTGGATTAAAATTCGGGCAGCCCCATGACTTTTCTGGACATTCTTAGATAAGAAAAATTCCTACGGTCATTTCAAATTACAATCATAACTTCAATTAAAAAATAAAACATGTGCAGTTGATTTAAACTAGTTGATCAAAGGTTAAATCTTCTCCCCTTCTCCCCCATGAGCCCCGCACCCCCCAGCCAGAGCCTGTGAAGGTTGCTGTTTGCAGGGGAGAGGGGCATGTGGTCCTCCTCTGCTTCCTCAATTTATTCTTCCACCCATGTGCACATCGACTTAGCCACAGTGCCTGGTGTGCCTGGCCTGAGGCAGGGCAGAGACAAGAGGACAGGGGGGCAGGAAAGTTTTCTGTTTCTTGGTGGCTGGCTGGTAAGGGGATCCAAACCCTTGACCTTGGTGTTATCAGCACCATGCTCTAGCCGAGTGAGCTAACTGGCCAGCCCGCAGGAAAGTTTTTACGGGACTGTCACTGTCATCACTGGCTGACCTTATGCTCTCTGGGCCCTTGCTTTTGTGGACACCATGGTGGGTTCTCCCGAGGTGGCCACTGGGAGCACTGGCTGCACACCCCATGGGGATGTGCTGTCTATACCATGGCCATTGCCCTCTGCCTCGTATTTTGGTAGTGTACACCACCCCAACTCACTCTGTCATCCCTCCAGCACTCCTCTCGAGCATGATTTGAGATGGCTCCAGTCAGCTCTCTTTTCAGCAGGGCTCCCACCTGGTTCCCTGGAAAGACTACTCCTCTCGTCCCTGCTATCTGTGGACGTGTCATTAGCTCCCCAATCAGCCTCATCGCCCTCTATCTGCCTTGTTGCATGCTGTGTTTAGATTTCTGGGGTGGGTGTCATATTCCAGTCCATTTCATCCCTCAAGCCCTGGAGACATAAGTCAGGCTCTTTAGGTAGTTGGGGTGAAGGGTCTGTTTCTTGACGAGGGTGACCCACTGTCCTGGTTTTAGCACTGAAACTTCCCTATCCCAGGAAACCACTCAGTCCTGGGCAAATTGGGATAGTTGACACCTCATTCATGACCTGAGGTCAAAATGGAGACCCTTTACACCCTACCCTTGGCACAGCACGACAGTCCTCATGAAATCTTCCTGCAGTCTGCACTCTCTTCAGCCTTTTGGATTCTGACGCGGGGAGGGTGGGAAGGGGGAAGATGTGCCTACTTTGAAATTTCTGCAAAATTTATGTTTTTGCCTTAATGTTCTTTTTGTTTTGTGATATCTATAATATCTTGGTGCCTTGGTTGAAGCTTCTTGTATAACATCTTATTACTCATGAGACCCAGGTGATATTAGTCAGAAACGGGACCCAATTTTGAATGAGTGAGACAGAGAGAGTGAGAGAGAGAGATTTTCTAGTTACCTTTATTGCAGGTTCACTGTCAAATAACCAGTGCCATGGGGAGGAAGAACCATCAGGGAGGCTCACCCCAAGAGGTTCTAATGCCAGGGTTTTAGAATTCACCTTACGTTTCACTCCCCTTCCAAATTTCTCCCTTAGCATCATCCTTCTATGCCAATAATTTTGATTGAGCTACCAATTCATTTGGACATCTAAACATTTCTTGGGCAGACAAGAACACAGTGGAATAGCTCAGAGAATATTCTGTGTACTTAAATGATCCACTCAATAAACTCCATGCTTGGACACCAATGATGAATTTTCAAATACTAATAATGATAATGCATACTGAACTGGTATTTTTATATGCTTTTCTAGTGCCTTTACATGTATGAACTCATTTTACCCTCACAACAATTCTAGATGATCAGTTCTAGTACTATTATTCTTATTTTTAAGATTAAAAAAACGAGGCACAGAAAGATTAGGTAACTTGCCCAAGGTCACATGACTAGGAAGCGCAGCCCAAGACTGATGTCCTGGGAATGTGACTCTAGAGCCACACTATTAACCACTATGTGGTGCTACCTTTGCACGATCTTGACTCTGTTGATAAACTGAAGGACCAGCCAGCTACACAGAGTATGACAGAGGAGAAACAGCATGGGGAGGAGGGATTCTGAGTTTTGTAGTCAGAGCTGGGTTTTGACCTTGGCTCTGCCACCTATCAGCTGTGCAACCTGGAGCAGGTCACAGTTGCCTCAAGGCTATGAATTTTAATAATGCTCACAGAGTACCTAGCAGAGGGCCTTAAATAAGCACATGCCAACATATGCTTTCTCTTCCCTCACCCTTTCTTGTTGCCCCTGGAACAACAGTTTTGAAATAAACCTATGATCTGGAATGACGCGGATCCTTTTAGATTCCTTTAGAGCTCAGGCTAGAGATTGTCCAAATGGTGCACCCATCTAGGGCACGTGAACGAGAGTGAACAATGGCAATATTTTAGCAAGGAAACTTCATTCCAAGAGGCGACCACATGGACTGTAAAGGGCATTTGTGAAACTAAAATTCTTTTGCATTGGTAGGACAACTTGACTCTCCAGGAGGGGCACATCTTGTTTCTGGAAAGATTAAAAAACCCAAGGTGTTCGTGACTGAGGGAAAAGATGTGGCTCTTACGGGTGTGTGCGTGTTTTTCATCAGGACCGACCCTTCCAAAGCCATCACTGCTGAGAACATCCACCGGGTAAGGGCCAGGGGCAGTCGTTTTCCCTGAATTACCAAAAATCACATAAAGTGCACAAAAATACCCTTCCTGTGGAGATAACCATAGTGCTCATCACAACATCTATACCTACTTTCATGTTTTTTTTTTTTTTTTTTTATAGTGGTTACCAGAGGCAGGGAAAGGGGGGGGGGGGGGGAAGTTAATGGGGAAATTCATCACAACATCTATACCTACTTTCATGTTTTTTTTTTTTTTTTTTAATAGTGGTTACCAGAGGCAGGGAAAGGTGGGGAGGGAGGGAAGTTAATGGGGAAATATTGGTAAATGGTACAAATTTACAAAGTCACAGTTAGATAGGAAGAAGTTCTGGTGCTCAAGAGTGACAATAGCTAATAATGCTGTATGGTACATTTCAATATAGCCAGAAAAGAGGATCTTGAATGTTATAACCACAATGAAATGTTAAAAGTTTAGGTAATAGATATGATAGCTATTCAGATTGGATCATTATACAATGTATGCATATACTGAAACACCAAACTGTACCCCATAAACTTGTACAATGAAAAAAATAAATAAAATAAAAGACTACTTTCTTTTTTTTTTTCCTTTTTGTCTTTTTTTTGTGTCCGGCAACGGATCGCAACCCTCAGTGTCGCGCCCGTACCGGACCAGGACCGGCAACGGGATTGCAACCCTCGGTGTTGCGTCCGCACCTTGCTCAGCCAGTGAGCGGCCGGTCTGTATGTGGGATCCGAACCCTCGGCGGGAGTGCCACCGCGCTCCAAAGCGGCGCACTGTAGCAGTGCGCCACCGGGCCGGCCATAAAAGACTACTTTCAAAGAAGCTTTTTAAAAGCATTTAAAGCAAGCAATTCAGAAGATACTTCTTTTTAATCTTTTGAGTAAGAGGACTTAACATTTAATTATTCAATTTATTAACAAAAATGGATGTAACATTCTGTATGGGTATAACAGTGAGGTCTTTTCTTTTAGAAAGAATTTCCCATACATAATTTACTTAATTTTCATACATTTAAAATAAGATTTCTAAAAGTAGATATGTATTTTTTGTGCCAGATAAAGTGCATTTGTACAATTCTCTCCCCAGCCCCTAATGGGAGCGTTGTCTTCTTGGAGCAAATAAACTGGTAAACATCTGGCATTCTATTTATTTCATGCTTTTATTTTGATGATGACAGTTTAGAATAGTGTAAAGCTTATTTCTTAACCAGGGTGTCAAAATAGTAATTTACTGGGTATTTGGTTAATTAACAACATTTAGAAATGACTTAGTAGCTATGTTGTGGTTGAGGATCAATTTTGCAATAAAGACTCTGCTAATTGCTTTTCAGGAGGTGAGCTTTAACATGTTGGATGCCGCAGATGGTGGCCTGCTAAACAGCGTGAGACATTTGCTGTCAGACATCTTCATTCCTGCTCTCAGGGCTACGAGCCATGGCTGGGGTGAGCTCGAGGGTCTTCAGGAAGCCTCCAACATTCGGCAGGAGTTCTTGAGCTCTCTGGAAGGCTTTGTGAGCGTCCTATCAGGTGCACAAGAGAGTCTGAAGGAGAAGGTAAAAATGAATAAGTGATTCCTTTACAAATGATCAGAGGGTTGACAAATACAATATAGAATTATGTGACACTTCTCTTGCAGGATCTGAAATTCCACTGTGTTGCGAATCTTGAAAAAATTTTGTTGCCCCCTCAAGATGGGATGGTGACTAGATTGAAATGTCTACAGTTTGTCATGATTAATGCATTCGGGGTTCCATAAAAATGTTGGCAGTGTTGAAGGGTTGTACTCAGTCAGTCAGATGTGTGACTGCAAAGACAAGAATGTGACATGCTTGTGGCATTGCTGTGCATCCTGGAATGAAAGGAATTTGAAGCCAGAATGGGGTGTGTGTGTGTGGTGGGTGGCAGGCAGCGGGTGGGAAGAAATCCTGAAGAGGTGAAAGAATTGGAATTGCTATGTCTGGAGACAGTGGGTCAGGTCCTGTGTTTCAGCCTGTGACCAAAATGGCCTTTGAGAATAAGTTTGGCAAATGTGAGATTTAGCTTCTGTGCGATTTGTGCTATCTACAGTAAGTCTGTGTTTGTGATCACCTGGGGTGGAAGGTGGTGGATGCACACACATATGTGTGCGTGGTGGGGACGGGGGTATCATGGAACAAGTAGAAGATGACAGAGTCCAGATTGGGCATGTGGGGGGGGGTAGGGAAACAGATCCTATGGTAACTATGACAATATGGTGCGCTCCCCTCCTCTCCAGGGAATCCTGATCCTACTGGAGTATTGGGAGGGGTCATTACATTTTCCAAAGGATGTGGAATTGGGGATTTGAGCAAATTTTTATCCAGATAGACACTGGATGACTCCAGCTAACATCTGAGTTATATTGGTGATTAACTATGATGCTGGCCAGACCAAAATGAAGGTTGGGCCAAGGGAAATTGTTGGTATTCTCTCTAAAAAAGCAGCGTTTTTTTCATCTGGCCCCACTTCATATGGTAGTAAAGGTATTAAACAAGTGGGATGGATCCCACTCGGGAGGAGGCATTCTCCATGAATGGGAGAGGTCGGCGGGCCTTGGGGTGGGTCCTGGAGGTGCAGGGAGGTGGGGCAGGGCTGGCAGGCCCTCCCGGCTGGGGCGGTGCACAAAGGCCTGTGGGAGTGGAGTGGAGGTCTGTGTGGCCTTGACAGGCTCTCCAGAGCTCTGTCACAGCGCGGCAAGGTGACAAACAAGAGCCCAGAGTACATGTGTTCTAAAATAGCATCCTTTTATTGTTTAATTTTCATTTTAATTAGGTGATCCTTCAAAAATGTGACATATTTGAACTGAAAACCCTGAAGGGACCTATGGACTACTTGACTTTCGCTAATAACCCAGAGACAATGGGAAAAGTAGAAGGTTGTATGAAAGTGTGGATCAAACAGACAGAACAGGTAATTTTCAGAAACCAAGTGTCAGAGTTTTGGATGCCGTGTCCCTGAACTAGCCAGTGGAGGGAGGCATAGCATATGACATCCCGTTTGCCTAAGTGTTCTACTAGAAGTCCTTAAAAAGGTGAGAAGTTCGATGTGGATCTTCATTTATGGTCATTAGTCAAGAAGAAATAGTAAGAATTCTAAGAGATGAAAGTAAATGGCTTTGTATAGTAATATAGCGAGAAAGCTGCACTTTACCAATCTTCCTTGAGGTCTGATTTACTTTGGAGTCACCCTCTGTAGAAGTACCAGGAGTTGTGTAATTCAGCTTGTCCTCCAAAAGGGAGCTTAAGACTTAACCTTTAAAAAATATTTTCATAAAATTCCTAAATAAAGAAATGAAGATAAACATGACATCAAAAAAGAAGCACAATCAAAACTAACCAGCTTAAGGAAGAAGTTTTCTTAGGATATACAGTAACAGCTCATTAAAGCTCACTAACTAGTTTTCAGTTAGAACAAATTGACTCAATTTTTGTTAAATTTTAAAAAATGGATACTTGCTAGTAAAAGGCTGTCATTCAAAGCATGTAAATGAATAAAATATATCATGATTCAGATAGCATCATTTCTTGCTTTATTTTTTGCCCGTGTATAACTTTCATATCTCCAGGCTCCCTCCCTCAATGATTCATGTTTTTTCCGTGTATTTTCAGGTCCTTGCTGAAAACAATCAGCTTCGGAAGGAAGCAGATGACCTTGGGCCCCGAGCAGAGTTGGAGCACTGGAAAAAAAGACTATCCAAATTTAACTACCTTTTGGATCAGCTGAAAAGCCCCCAAGTGAAGACTGTGCTCGCAGTGCTTGCTGCGGCCAAGTCAAAACTCTTGAAGGTTCCCGGTCATTTCTTTCGGCCTTATGAAACTAGAATGAGAGTGTTCCATATGTATTTTCATGTCATAGAGTAATTAGGAACAGAAAAATGTTATTGCCCTTTTTTGAAAAACTTTTTAGATTGCATAATATTGCCCTTAAAGAATTTTGGATACTGTGGAAATAGCCTCTGAATTAATCATTTGTTAACAGTTGTACATGTATGTCTGTGTGTTATTAGAGGGCATTGCATGTAATTACGACATAGCACGATAATATGATTATTTATATATTATGAATTCAGACCAGCTCAAAGTAGTAATTATGAAAACATACCTTCTCCATATTTATTTTTTAGTTCTGGTATCTTAATTTTATGTTGTAAAACAAATTACCCCAAAACTGAGCAGCTTAAAATAACATATATTTTTATCTCATAGTCTGTGGGTCAGGAATCTGGGTGAAGCTTCCCTGGGTGCCTCTGACTTAAAGTTTCTCATGAGGTTGCAGTTGCAGTGTGGGCTCATCTAAAGGCTCAGCTGGGGGAAGATCTGCTTCCACGTTCACTTGTGTGGTTGTTACAGGATTCAGTTCCTTGCTGGCTGTTGGTCAGAGGCTTCCTTTTGTTCTTTACCACACGGGCCTCTCCAAGGGCAGCTTGGTGTACAGTAGTGCTAGGAATCTATAATTAACAATGATTTATTGTCTATTGTCAAATGGCTAAAATAGTGGAGCTTAAATGTTCTCATCACAAAGAAGCGGTAAATTTTTGCAGTTATGAATTTGCTAACTACCCTGATTTGATTACTATCATATATTGAAGTATAGCTCTTTACCCCATAAATATGTGCAATCAATACACTTCATTTAAATTAAAAAAAGACATAGCAGCTGGCTTCCCTTCGAGGGAGCAAGTGAGAAATTGCAAGAGAGTGGTCGACACGGAAGCCACTGTCTTTTTGTAAATGAATCTTGGAAGTGACATCCTGTCAATTTTGCCATATTCTATTTATTAGAAGCAAGTCATTAGATTCAGCCTATTATCAAGGGTAGGGGGTGACATGAGAGCTTGAATAAAAGGCATTGGGTGATCACTGGGGACCATCACAGAGGCTGCCTAAGTCACCTGGCATTGGTGCCATAAAGACTATTTATTAGCTATTTGCATGGATGTTTCGATCCATGCAAATAATTTAAATAACCAATAATAATTTGTGTCAATAACAGTGCTTAGGTTTACCTTCTGTGATTGCTCAGAGAAATATGAGAGGTGAGCCTTGCAATACAGTTCAGAAATATCAGTAGGACTTCCGTGAAGTCAACTGAATGCATTGACTTGTGCTGAATCATTTCCTTTTACTTCTCCTACTTTATGATTATCTTTCCATTTTGAAGTTCCCAGCTCATAGCACCATCCTGGCATATGGTTGGCAGTTAAGAAATAATTACTATATTAATGGATAAACAAAAGTATAGGTAGATAGGAAAGAGAGTTCAGGTTAGAATAGAGGAAAGATAGAAAACATGGGAGTGAGGTCCAAATGGATCCAGTAGCCAGTGGACAAGAACAGGTGTGAGTTTAGAGAAAGGTGCTGCCCTCTTGGTAATCTGTGCTAGTTTGGAATGGATTTTATAAGAGAAGGCCTGAAAGTGATTCTTATGAAAATTTAGTCAAAAAATTAAATTGTTCTTCAGCATAGCGATATCCCTCACCCCTCTGAATTCAGTTTCATGCAAGATGCACAGAACAAAGTGAAAGTCTAACCCAAGGGACTTGTGGTGACTCGTAGTAACTGCTATATTGGAAGTTCCTCTATGAATAATTGCATTAAAATTGCTTTCCTGTATTGTGCTTAGACTTGGCGTGAGATGGATGTTCGAATCACCGATGCAGCTAATGAAGCGAAGGACAATGTCAAATATTTGTACACACTTGAAAAATGTTGTGACCCTTTGTACAGTGGTGATCCTGTGAGTCTGCAGTTGACCCTTTTTGTACCAGCTGAATTGAGTGTTGAATTTTGGTTCATAGATAGTATAGTGTGTTGAAAAGGTCTTTGAAACTTTTTTTTCTCAATGAAATATATATACATATTCATATACACATCTATATATCTATTTCTTTGTCTCTAATTTATCTATATAATTATCTATCAAAAAGATTTTATGAGCTGTTATATTTTAAACACATTTATTGCATATTACATTTTCCATTAAATAGTGTAATTGACTTTCTTGACTATACCCCAGAGAACTCTGGGAAAAGTCATTCATGGTGTTTTTCTTATCTTTTAGCTTTAGGAAGTGCCTGCTTTTATTTATAACAAACTATGTGTTATTAATAATTAATCATTAATAATTGTCAGTGACAGTTAACATTTAACTTTCTGTTGCTTGTCATTAACATAAGTTAGTGTTTCTTGCATTGAAATAAATTTGATTAACCATATATGGCTAAAATAATAAAAATAATATTATTATTAAATATATTCAAGTAAAGCATTAGAAAATATTATTAAGTCTTTAATAAAATCTTTAACAAAAATCTTAAATAAATTTTATTCTTATGATGATGTAGTGATTAGACTATTAGCATTTTGCTGAATTTTATATATATTTTTCCCAAAAAACTTTTGTGGTATCTTCCAGATATCCATGATTGATGCTATTCCTACACTTATAAATGCAATTAAAATGATCTATAGCATCTCTCATTACTATAACACCTCTGAGAAAATCACGTCTCTGTTTGTAAAGGTAAGTGCAGAGTCTAGAGTTTATGGTCACTTATATTCTTTTTGCCACTGGTCAATTTTTTGATAATTAAAAATGACCACATTAGCATAGTCCAATGTCCATGTAACTTAAAATTTTAAAAAAGTTTAGTCTACCAACAGAGGTAAAATTAAGTTTTTTTGAGAGACTGATTCTAGCAAATCAAAAAGCGTTATTTCCCAAAGTAATCATTAAAATAAGTATTTTGTTTTTATATAATAAAGATGAAAAAAGATTCTTTTTGGAATTTCTTTGCCTATATTATTTAGCACCTCAGTTATTCCTATTTGGTAAATTTTAATTAAGAAAAACTTCATTTAACTGGCTATCTCCTGTTTCATATTTTTTATGCCACTGTTCCAAATTTATTTGATGCCACAGTTGTTTACTTGGTGTTGTTAGACCAGTAACCATGGTAATAAAATCCACTTGCAACTTTCCAGTAATCTATAAAGCAATTATAATGATTCTGCCAAAAACCATAATGATGTTTAAACCTTTTGTCCTAACTTGTAAGTGTTTATGGTAAGCACTGTTGCTAGTCTCATTTTGAATAGTCTCTAAGAAGTAAATGACTTTTTTATTATCAGGGCAAAAATTTTAAATGTTGAATTAAAATAAAGGAATTTTTGACCCATCAAGACTTGTGTTCGGGAAACTAATGCAGTAGGAGGTGTAAATCTTCCTGGAAATAGAGACATCCAGCCTTAAAAGCTTGATGGGAAACTTTTTTTCCTTCTGCTCTCGTGTGAGCAGTTCAGGTGGAAAGAGGAATGTCCACAAAATCCTTCCTCAATATCTTCACATTTTAAAACTATATGTTATAGTCAGGGGGATATTCCCTGGGTAAATGAGACAAAGTCAATTTATGTTATTAATCTAGATTTCATGCATATTATTTGCAAAACCATTAAGAATAAAATTGTAAAACCGTCATTTATCCAGTTATCGAAAAACTTTTATTATGGAAATTTTGAAGCAAGTACGCAGGGAGAGAGTGTTGTATACCGAATCACCCAGATTCAGCAACTATCAGCATATGGCTGATCTTATTTCTCCTACACCTCTACCTCTTGCACTGCAAATCCCAGGCATCATATCCCAAGCATACAGTAAAGTCATTTAATGTTCTTTTTTACTTTATTTTTGAAAAATTAAGAAGTTTGTGAAAAGAAGGTTGGAGAGATGAATAAAATACTAGCAGTTTCATGTATTAGCTTTATTTACTCTTCTCTCTGTGGCCTTCTTTTGACATTTTCACTGAAGATCCTAGCAGCATGAAAAATCAGGGTGGGTAGCACTTTACATGTGTGTATAAACTGTGGGTTAGATGTCAGAGCAGGCTACCTAAAAAGATCCGGGAAACTCACATCACTTTTAGGTAGGGAATTGAATCCCTCCTTGGTTGGTTAAGACATTCATTCTGCATGAATTCTGGCCTGAATTGCTGATTTTCTATAGTGTTTCCAATTCTGTGATTTCACAAATGATTTTGACTTTATCAAAAGGTCAGGGTTTGATCATAGTTGTGGTGGAAACAAGTAAACCTGAAGCTCAAGTTCACAGATTGCAAACTCTGAGAGGTACAAGAGTTAAGAATCACATGTAGCTGTTTTATGTACTTAACATCATTTAACTGGAAAATTCCAGGTGACAAATCAGATGATATCTGCATGTAAAGCCTACATAACCAACAATGGAACTGCTTCCGTCTGGAACCAGCCGCAGGATGTTGTTGTAGAAAAAATATTATCTGCAATTAAACTTAAGCAGGTAATGGTCAGCTTAGTAATACATTTAGATGTTTTGCTATTTTTATGTTATTTTTGCTGAGACCATCATAAGTCATTTAGCAGTTATCATGTTATTGGTTGCTTAAAAAGAACAACCATTCTTTGTGGTTAAGAAAATGGAGTGCCAATAAACCTTTCCAGAAAATTTATTCACTTATTCTACCGTCATTGGGAGTCTATTATGTCCCAGTACCACACTGTATTAGCCAGTTATCTCTTGCTTAGAATATCAGAAACTGAGTAATTTATAATGGAAACAAAATTTATTTCTTATAGTCTTGGAGGCTGGGAAGTCCACGGTCCAGGGAACACATCTGGTGAGGGCCTTCACATGGAGAGAACGGACTGAGCAGAAGAGCTAACCTGCTCACTAGCTCCCCTTTTAAAGCCATCAGAACCACACCTATTACTCCATGAATGGATCAATCCATCCCCAAGAGCACAGTCCTCACTATCTAATCACCTCTTAAAGGCCCAGCCTTTCAAATACCATCATAGGATTCCTACTCTTCTTAATACTGTTACAATGGAGATCAAGTTTCTGGTACATGAACTTTTGGGGGACGCATTTGACACATGGAGATAGAAATATGTCTAAGATGAGGTAGTTTCCCTTAAGCATCTTATAGATGAACGGGGAGAAAGACGTAGAGTGATGCTGTTATCAAAACAGTGGAATCAAGGTGGGAAACCTGTACCTTTGAACTACATCATGAATAACCAAGAGTTTGCTAAATTGGAGGATGGGAAAAGATGGTATTCCAGGCTGATGGATGAGTAAATGCAGAGGCACGAAGCTGTGAAAAGGCTGGCAAATTCCATCTGACTTTGCTGTCGCCTTCCTTAAGAAAATAAAGTTGATACCTTTGTTATGTTTCCTTTCTTATATTTGGGTTTTCATTGTAAGGAATACCAGCACTGCTTTCACGAGACAAAACAAAAGCTTAAACAAAATCCGAAGGAGAAACAATTTGAATTTAGTGAGATGTATATTTTTGGAAAATTTGAAACTTTTCACCGACGCCTTGCCAAGATAATAGACATCTTTACAACCTTGAAGACATACTCAGTCCTGCAAGATTCTAAAATCGAAGGGCTGGAAGACATGGTTACTAAATACCAGGTATTGTAGTTTAAAATGATATTTGCTACCATTATTTGTAACTAAGCTTTAATATTTTATGCAAATAACTGCACTTAGGAAGATTCAGATCACCAGTCTATAATGTAAATTATAATCTCATGGTCTTTTAACAATAAGAAAATTAGATTTATTTGAGAATTGTGGAATGATGCTAACGTGTTCTTTACAGGTGTGTGGTTATAAGAACGATTTCCCAATAGTCTAAAATTAATCACCATTAGGAAAAAGTATTTTCCTTAGTAGCACAAGAAAAATGTTTCAATATAACATTAATTAATTAATTCATGTAAAGAAATATTCAATGAAGGATATCCTGTATATCAGGTACTACCTGATACCACGTTCTGAGTGGTATTGGATTATTCTGCATTTAAGCATATTATTTGAACAGATGTTAAAAAACATAAAGGACCGGATTTAATTTTAGCTCTAACATCGCTAGTTATTTTGATTTTTAACTGCTTTCTTTTATGATGGTATCTGTGTGACTAATCTTAGTTTTGAGAGCTTGTTTGGAGGTTTTGGCACAGCTACTTGTATACCATTAACTGAAGAATGGTCCTTTCCTTTATTAGAGAAAGCCATCTTCTTTCACCAAGTGCGCAGCTTCAGGATGGTAGTACATGGAACCTTGGGGGAGGAAAAGGACACCTGTCTAGCTAGCTAGATCAGCCGAATCAACCGTGGTGATTGATGGGGTGACATGTCGCAGCCAGATCGCCCTCCCTCCTAATCTTTGTTTTGGAAGTGGGCACAGTTTAAAGATTAAAATAAAGAAAAACAATTTACAAACAAAACGTGTTTAAAAATTTTAAAGTGGATGTAGTCAATGTTTTCTTGTTTGAAGACAGTGACACTAAAACAAATAATTTCTTTTTGTACTTGAATTTGAAAAGAATCATATAATTTACTGTCACATGTAAATTTTTGTACTCTAATAATTTATGCCAATATAAGAAATCTTTTTCATTTCCTGAGTACACCAGGTTTTGGGAGAGAAAAAGAAAATACCTTTGTATAGCGGGAAACATTTGAAATGTGCCGTGTGCAATCTGAAAGGTTAATAATCTCCACTTTGAAAGTAACAGTTTTTCAAGACAAAGAGAATATACCCATTTATTTTTCAGTTTAGAATCTAATGGTTTCATATTAGAGCGTACGGAGCATATTTCAAAGTTTATTTTTGAATAAGTTACACTGAACATCTAAATGTGGGTAAGAAGTCTGTTCTAACCTGATAAAAATACTGCGAAATTGATTTGAAAATTCAAAATGAAATACTGGTTAAAATGAAGGTAGTGAGGGGCCAGCCCGGTGGCGCACTGCGCTAGTGCACCGCTTGGGAAGCACGGAGGCGCTCCCGCTGAGGGTTCGGATCCCACATACAGACCGGTTCCCGCTCACTGGCTGAGCGAGGCGCGGGGGCAACACCGAGGGTTGCAATCCCGTTGCCGGTCCCGGTCCGGTACGGGGGTGACACTGAGGGTTGGAATCTGTTGCTGGACACGGAAAAAAAAAAAATGAAGGTAGTGAGATAAAATGTAGATGGTGCAGGAAAGTGTAAAGTGAGCATTTCCTGGATCAGCAGAAATGTCAGCAGCTCACGATGGCGTCCCCGGGAATGAATCTCATGCTCTTTGCTTGGCAGTCAAGGCTCTGTCCACCCCTCCAGCCTCCTTTCCTGCTCCTCAGATCCTACCTCTGTATCAACTGGTTGCTTCCTCTTTGGCTTCCAGATCTTGATGCAAATGACTCTCTCCGTGAAGTCTTCCTCAAACTCTGTTCCACCTCAATCGCCCTGTCCACACTGCTCATTTCACCACTGCCTGAAACTCTCACCTTCATGATCTGTTACTTACATGTATTACGTAAGTGTGTGAATTACTTGATGCAGGGACATTTGTTTCTTCTGTTCATTCCTGTATTTCAGAATTTACTGGCACATAAAAGTGTGCAATAGGTATCTGTCAAGTAAACGATTAAGTAGATTGAGATTGATTAGTGATTTAAAGGTCACAATTAACCATTTCATTTATCTTAATACTCCAAAGTAATCATTAAATCTAATCATAGAGCAGGATTTCCTCAGATCCCCAAATCTTTTAAATTACTATGTTAAAAAGTAGTCATGTAGCTTTTCCATACCTTTTAAAGACCTTGTGTATGTGTATGCATATATACACACAAACCTTAAATAGAACAAATTTTGTACTTATACAACATGAAAGAGTAGGGTCTTTTAACTAGTGAACTTGACCCAAGAAGTTATGTAGTTTATACCCTATATTTGAACTGATGTTTGAATGGAAATGACTTTGAAGAGGAGATCATGGAAGGAGACCCAATATTCTTCATAAAAATTATATGCCTCGGTCAACATTGTGGACACCTCAGTTTGAGAATGGCTTAGTGCCTGGTTAAGAATGAGCACAGAGCATTATAGCTCATTATTCAGAGCAAACACAACTTCTGATAATAGTATTTTCCGGGAGGTGAACTGCCTAATTTATACTTTGGAAGTCACAGACTGCAGCTTTGCAAAGCAGTAGGAAGCAATTAATTCTAGAGAGTTTTTAAGTGGTAGTTTGTGGCTTGACATTTTATTTAAGACATCTGAGGCCTGGAAAATAGTATTTCATCTGTAAGGTATTACAACGTAATTATTTTCTTTCTATGTTGTTTATGTTCTTTGAAAGCCTTATGTGTTTCCTGAGAAGATTTAAACTTTTCAACAAAAAATATTTTAGTACATTCTACTCCGGGCTTCTTTTTTATTTTTTCAGATGTGATTAACAAGAAATTTTTTAGACAACATCTCTTATAAATTTCAGCTGTGGTTTTTATTTTATATTTTTCTTCAAAAATACATAAAACCTCATAAAAATGCTTTCCGAGTGAGTGATTTCTTTGAATGTAGTATGGCAACATTATACTGCCTGTAAAATAATGAACACTAAGCAATGTGAGTAATTAAAGAAATAAGCTCCCTTTAAACTGATTTTTTGGGAATGATCGTACAGGTTCTACATGGTAGGGTCACATTTTGTTAAGTAATGCAAGGATATTAAAATATTGTCTTATTTCTTTCATAATATTTCAGGGCATTGTTGCAGCCATAAAGAAAAAGGAATATAATTTCTTAGACCAGCGGAAAATGGATTTTGACCAGGATTATGAAGAGTTTTGCAAGCAGACTAATGACCTTCATGTAGGTTGTATAATAAAATCCCATTGACAGTTGCCTGTTTATTTTTTCCTCTCTGTATAATGCTGTTTATCATTATGCATTTTGAAGGGAGAAGTGTCTTCATCATGGAGGTGATGGTTAGCAACCTCAGCCTGCATATTTTGTGATTTCAGATTAATAGTTGAAGGCTCTTTTTCATAGATTAAAGGGTCATAAATATAGCTTTGGATAATGATTTGTAATCACAGACTTCTGCATGTCTTCTGTCTTAGTTCTTAGAAAATTAACTTTCATCTGCTGTTGAAACATTATGGCATTATTAGATTGTGGACATTTATTTCCACTTGTTTGTCACTCTATAGCAATGATTATGACTAGAGGTAGCTTAAGCAAGTAGTCAGCGATGTCTGGCAGATCCCAAAGGCAGGAGTTCAGCTGGCCTTAAAAATGCAGCCCCTTTCTTCTCCACCCCCTGCAATCCCCTCCCCTAGTTCACGCCAGACCAGCCATTCCCCGTGAGCAGCAAATGGTCATCATCAGTTTCTGGGGACATATCTCAGGACCAACCTCAGCTCCAGATTCCTGGGGAAGGGGTGGCTTGGCCAGTTCTAGTTGGGTGCCAAGCCCTGGACGTATCAACAGTGGGATCGTGTAGTAAACGCAGGGGGGATGAGACCCACAGGGGTGGTTAGGAATGTTTATCAGCAAAGGGAAGTCAGGGAGAGGAGGATGGGAAGACAACCCATAGGTGTCTACCATAATTAGTCTGTAGTCTTTTTAAATCCCAATGAGCTGCAGATGTGCATCTTTCTGATTATAAGAGGAAAATGGCCATTCTATTCCTTCTTTCCAAGAATTATTGATTTGAACTAAATTTGTATACTTCAAGGTAAAGAGTTCTGAGGCATCTTGGAGGAGTGAGTCAGTGGTAGAAGGAATCATAACAAAGCTAGCTAATTCTATGTGCCAGGCACTGTTCTAAGCACTTTCTATGTATTAATTCATTTAATAATCACAATAATCTTGTAAAGCAGATACTTTATTCCTCTCATTTTGCAGAGGAGGAAACTGTGCCCTAGTAAGGTTAAGTGACTTCCCAAAGTCACAGAGATAGTAAGTGGTGGAGTTGGGTTTAAACCCAGGCATTCTGGCTTTAGAATTTAAGTTTCTAACCATTAAGGTATATGACATATTTCATTTGATTAGAAGATAGAGTGCCTCTAATGTCAGCAATGATCTCTTTTGGGTGCTGATTTAGACATAAAGACAGTAGATCTTGATCTCTTTTTGTTGGAAATTGATGGACGGTGGCAGATACCGATTCTACGCTCTATGGTTAGTATCCATTTGTCAGGTCTTTCTTTATGTTTCCACACCGATTTCTGATTACAATATACTTCATTAGCTCACACGTGGAATACAGGTAGAGGGTGAACACCTGGGGGACAGGGATCATGATTATTCCTCTTTGTTAATAAGAAGATGCAGATTTATTGCAATGACACAAGCATTTAATGTACAACAAGTACGTATTAGTCTTCTGTGCTGTCAGTTATGAATACAGAAATAAATCAAGTAGATTTGCTCCCAGACAGGAGGCAGACTGTGATATGACTGAAATGTAAGTTCATGTATGTTAGAACACAGTGATGAATATAGCACTAAAAAAAGGGCAAATAGGGACTAAAAACCACTAGTTATAAAAGAATAATACTCTGATATCATGCCAGAAAGTGAGGATTCAAAGATAAAAAGACATAATCCAAATCCTACAGGAACTTACAGAGAAGACAGGCATGCAGAACATTACACAGAATCTGATCATTGCTACAACCTGTATGATGGTGTATTAGTCCATTTCTTTTGCTTATAACAAAATGCCTGGAACTGGGTACTTTGTAAGAAAGTGAAATTTATTGCTTACAGTTTGGAGGCTGGGAAGTCCAAAATCCAGGAAACACATCTGGTGAGGGTCTTCTTTGGTGGTGGCTTTACAGCAATGCAGGGGTATCCCATGGCAGAAAATGGCAGAGCAGAGAGAGCAGAGAGATAGTTCCTCAAGCTCCCTCCTTTGAAAACCCTTGGAACCATGCCCCTGACCACCATTTTTGATCTATTCACTACTGCATGGTCCTACAATCCAATCACCTCTTCAAAGCCCCACCTTTCAATTACCATTGTAGGATTTCTTGCCCTCAACAGTTGCAGTGGGGATTAAGCTTCTAATATGTGAACTTTGGGGACACAATTCAATCAATGCACAGCAGATAGGATGTGAATCTAGGAAACAATGATCCCATACTTTTCCTTGGCTAGGTTAGGAAAGGCTTCAGAGAGAAGGCGATTCTTGATCTAGAATATTTGTGTTCTCCAAATAAATGGAGTGGGAATGAACGGGGTAGCTGGGCCTTTTCAAACCTGTGCCCACTTCTTATAGCACTAAGAATAAAATTTTATAAATGTTCTATAGCCTGGATTTTAAGCATCAAAAATTATTCATCTTGTCTTCCATCTCAAAAGTGGTCTATTTCTGTGTTTGGTTTCCTGACAAGTTTTCCTTTGACTTCTTTATTCCTTTCCCCATTATCTTTCTTTGAACTAATCATTCTACATTCTCTCCTTCAAATACTCACCCAATCTCACGAATTCAGCCCTTGTCTCTATAAAACCAGGGCAAAAATATTTTCCCAAGACTCTGGATGGAGGGAGTGAGGGTTGGAGAGTCTTGGAGACAGGCATGGAGAGGCTCATTCACTACGGTGTCTTCAGTGAAAGACTTGGGGGTCTGGTCTCCACAAGTGATTTGGATCAGGCTGTGTCCAGGGCTCCACTGTCAAGGGGATCAGAGCCTGGAATCCTGTCTAGATTTAGGGTTCATGCTAGTACTAACAGGTCAAAGAGGGACAATGTGTTGGAACCAAGTGGGCCATTGGAAGTCTAGAAACGTACTGATTCCAGAAAGTAAAGTAAGGCTTTAGTAAAGGACAGACCATTTAGGTGGCAAGCTGAGTTCAAAACTGGTGAGATCTGAGACCTTAGAAGTAATAGGAAGACTAGCATGAAGATTCCGTAGCCCAATCCCAAAAGATTGTAAGAATGGACCTAAGGTTCAGAGACAAACGTGCCATACAGCATAATGGTTAAAAACTTAGATTCTAAAGCCAGACTGCCCGGGTTTAACCCCAGCTCTACCACTTATTATCTCTGTGACTTTGGGAAGTCACTTAACCTTACTGGGGCACAGTTTCCTCCTCTACAAAGTGAGAGGAATAAAAGTTCTGCTTTACAGGATTATCGTGATTAATGAATTAATACATAGAAAGTGCTCAGAACAGTGCATGGCACATAGAATGAGCTAGATTTACTATGATTCCTTCTACCACTGACTCACTCCTCCAAAGATGCCTCAGAACTCTTTTTACCTTGAAGTATACAAATTTAGTTTAAATCAATAATTCTGGGAATGAAGGAATAGAATGGTCTTAAACGTTCGTAAAGAACTCAGCCTGGGCTTTTGTGAAGTCAGAGCTCAGAAAAACAAGGAAAACCAGCTACAGATGAGAGGGCTCAGTAGGGATTTGCTGGTGCCTGGAGGAAAGGGGGGGAGCAGAAAGATTATAAATGCTCTAGTTCTGCATAGTTTATACATAGAGATTTTTCATGTAGTAAAATCATTTAGATGTTTATTTAGGTAGGCTAACTGCACTATTCTTTAATGCAGGACCATTTTTTTGATCTGAGGATGTGATCTTTGTGCAAGAAATAATATCATTTCCAAAAACACGAATACTTTCAGTAGAAGTAGTGGCAAGTATTGAGGACAAGGACATGTTGTAACAGGCGTACAGATCCTTCAGCTGTGGGACTTTGCTGAATGGGGCGGGGAGCATTGCGGCTTGAGCCCAGATACCTCTTTCACCTCAAGTGGCAGTATTTCCAGCGGTGACCTGGATGCTGCCATCTGGTTATCTTGCCAAACTACTTCTGACCTAACATTGTCAAAAACCAAGCCCATTTAGGTACTAGTTCTTACTGCATAGTAAACTGGTTTCCCCATTTTAATACTGCATCAATTAATGGTCCCTTTAAATTTGTAGAGGCTCAAAACTTCTGTCTTGTAAGTTCAGAAAAAAGGATTGATTGGGACCTTACCTTGAAGAATAAAATGGAAAATAAATAGTAAAATGATAAAATAATTTTTCTGCATTTTATTTAACCAAATTTAGATTTTAATTACAACACTGTACTAAATCTTGTGCTTAGTTTTTTGGTACAATTTTTTTTGAGGAAGGCCAGAATTGCATCATAGTGTAACATATGTGAGGTTCTCAGGACAACCCATAAAGGTCACTTTGGAAAATATGTTTGAGAGCTTTATGAAAGAGTTGTCTTAGAACTTTGTGCTGTTTGGCTCATGTTCATAAAGCCTGTGCCCTGACCTAACTGCTGAAGTGTTTCACCTTTATTTTCCCTTAGTAATTTTACAGTTTCGGGTCTTATACCTATGTCTTTAATCCATTTTGAGTTGATTTTAGTAAAAAGACAATTTTTAAAAGCAGTTTTAGGTTCACAGCAAAATGGAAAGAAAGGTTCAAAGACTTACCATATACCCCCTGTTCCTGGCTCCACTCCCCACAATGTATAGCCTCCCCAATTATCAGCATCCCTCAGCAGAGTGGTACATTTGTTACAATTGGTGAACCTATATTGACATGTCATTATTACCCAAAGCTCATAGTTTGCATTAGGGTTCAATCTTGGTGTTGTACATTCTATGGGTTTGGACAAATGTATGATCACATGTATTTATCATTATAGCATCATGCAAAATATGGTATCTTCACTGCCCTAAAAGTCCTCCCTTCCTTGGCAACCACTATCTTTTTAGTGTCCTAACCCCTGGCAACCACTGATTTTTTTCCTGTCTCCATAGTTTTGCCTTTTCTAGAATGTTATATAGTTGTATACATACAACAGGTAGCCTTTTCAGATTGGCTTATTTCATTTGGTAATATGCATTTATGTTTCCTCCATGTCTTTTCATGGCTCAATAGCTCATATCTTTTTAGTGCTGAATAATGTTTCACTATTTAGTTATGATGTACCACAGTTTATTTATTCATTCACCTACTGAAAGACATCTCGGTAGCTTCCAAGTTTTGGCGACTGTGAATAAGACTACTATAAACATCTGTGCAGATTTTTGTGTGAACATAAGTTTTTAACTCCTTTGGGTTAATATCAAGGAGCATGATTGTTGGATTGTATAGTAAGTATTTTTAGTCTTGTAAGAAACCACCAAACTGTCTTCCAGCGTGGCTGTACCATTTCGCATTCCCACCAGCAATGAATTAGAGTAGAGTTCCTGTTGCTCCAAATCCTTGCCAGCATTTGGTGTTTCCAGTATTCTGGGTTTTGGCCATTCTAATAGGTGTAGTGGTATATTAGACATTTTTGATATTCTTGATCTGTTGGTTTCTAAGAATCTACAACTAAATTAGCTTGCTTTATATATTTTGATTCAATAGGTTGGCTGCTTACAGGCTCAAAACTGTTATATCTGCCAGGGAAGTTCCCGTTAACACTGAAGTGACCATATATACCTCCAAGGGTGCTATAGCATATGGTTGGAATATATATAAATATATGTGTATATATATTATAGCTGAGACTCTCCTCTAATTGTGAGTTTAAACCACTTACAATGACTGATTTCTAGTATAGTTAGAATTATTTCTAAAATCTATTTTAAGATTTTATTTAGTGAGCTTTTTTTCTTTGACTCCTTTTGTTTTTCCTTTTTATATTTTGTTCATTAAATTTTTATTATTTCCTTCCTTCCTCTTCTACTGGTTTGGGGTGCCTCTCTTTATATTTCTAGTGGTTTGAGCATATATCCCTGACTTAAAGTTTAAAATTAATTGATATTTCTATCCACCTTTTATTTCAGCACTATTGTTGTTTTGCATTTAAATTTTACCTTGCTTTTTTTTTTTTTTTCCTTTTTGGTGTCTGGCAACTGATCACAACCCTTAGTGTCGCGCCCGCACCTCGCTCAGCCAGTGAGCGGGAACCGGTCTGTATGTGGGATCCGAACCCTCGGCGGGAGCGCCGCTGCGCTCCCAAGCGGCGCACTGTAGCAGCGCGCCACCAGGCCGGCCCCTTACCTTGCTTTTAAACTTTCCAAACTTCTTGTTATTTAGATTTACCAACATGTTTCCCAGCATGTTTACAGATTTCTTTCTTTTTTTTTTGTTTTTTTCCGTGTCCGGCAACGGATCGCAACCCTCAGTGTTGCCCCCGTACCGGACCGGGGACCGGCAACGGGATCGCAACCCTCGGCGTTGCCCCCGCGCCTCGCTCAGCCAGTGAGTGGGAACCGGTCCGCATGTGGGATCCGAACCCTCGGGCGGGAGCGCCGCCACGCTTCCCAAGCGGTGCACTTATCCAGTGCGCCACCGGGCCGGCCCCTACAGATTTCTTTCTTACTATTAGATCTTGCAGTCCTCTCCCTCTTTTTTGAGTTTATTATCATTTTTAAAAAGGTATGTTCTTTAGTGGTTATTTCAACAAGTCTGTTAATGGTACAGTCTTTAGTCTTTGCCCCCAAATGCCTAAACATTTCTCGATTTTGAATGTTGGTCTGATTTTACATGCAATTTTAGTTTGGAAGTTATTTTCTTTCAGCACTTAGAAGATCTTTTTCTCATTGACTTTTGGTATCTATTGTTCTCAATGAGGTATTTGTTATCAGATAGTTATTTCTTTATAGATCATTGGCTTTATACTCTCTCCGATTGTTTTTAACATTATTTTTCTTTTTATCTTTAGCATCTCTGTGTGAGTTTTAGGTGTGATTTTTTTTTCATTTTTCTTCTTCACAATTTGGTGTGCTTCCTCTATTTGAAGATTTAAGTCTTTTTTTTTTAATTGTAGAAAATTTTTGTCCATTATCATTTGAAATACTTTAGGTGCTTCTTCCAGGATTTCCAAAAGATTTATGTTAGACCTTCTTTTTCTGTCTTCTATCTCTGTTAACCTTTTTTTTTGTATTTTCCATTTCTTTAATTCTCTACTACATTTTGGGTGATTTCTTTCAGAATTTTATTGCAGTTCATTAATTTTCTTTTTAGGTATATAATTTGCATCCATTGTATTTTGAATTGTATTGATTTTCTCCTTTATATGTATGTTTTGTTTTTAAAAATCTGAGTGCTCTTATTTTATACTGTCCTTTTTTATGGTTTCTGCTTCTTCTTTACTCTAATAATCTTAAACACACTTATTTTATAGTCTCTTTCAGACTGTTCTACTGTCTGTAGTACTTGAGTGTTAATTCTGTTAGGGCATTCTGCTTTTTCTCACTCAAAGATCATTTCTTCATTTGGTATTTTAAAATTTTTTCTGAGCTTATCTTCTTTAGGAGTTATTTACTTATTTTTTTCCCTGTACAGTCTTGTGAATATGGGCTTTGGAAGTGTTACTATAGAGTGGCTTTGCAGGGTCCTAGTGGTTTTACCTTTCCAGACTAGCTTTTATGTTAATTTCTTGGGTTAGATCCCTATATCTCATGTGTAGTATAAGTTTGGGCTCCTTATCTAGGTGTGGAATGGTACAGGATTTCAATTGCTTTAAGGCAGGGGGTCATCAAACTGTGCCCAAGGGCCAAATTATGCCCTGCCTATTTGTTTATGCATTGTCTATGGCTGCTTTGGCATCACAGTGGTACACACCAGCAGTTGTGAAAGAGACCTGTTGCACAAAGCTGAAAATATCGACTATCTGGCCCTTGACAGAAGTATGAAAACCCTGTTTTAGGGTGACTTTTTTTTTCCTTTCATGGCTCTGGGCAGGTGGTGTATTAGTCTTTTCTGTTGCTTATAACAGAATACCTAAAACTGGGTAGTTTATAAAGGAATGAAATTTATTTCTTGCTGTTTTGAAGCCTGGGAAGTCCAAAGTTCAGGGAACACAGCCGATGAGGGCCTTCTTGGTGGTGACTCTCCACAGCAGTGCAGGGTGTCCAACAGGGAGAAGGGGCTGAGCAAGAGAGTTAACCTTCTCACTTGCCCTCCTTTTAAAGCCATCAGAACCACACCCATTACTCCATGAATGGCAGTCCTCACAATTTAATCATCCCTTAAAGCCACCTCCTTTCAAATACCATAATTGAATTTCCCACTCTCTTAACACTGTTATAATGGGGGTCAAGTTTCTAATACATGAAGTTTCGGGGAACACATGGAAAGCTGCAAAAAGGCCTGCCACCTATTAGGTCAACTTTCCAAGCTTGTGAGCAGTCATTTAATTCCCTTTGTATGCACTAGTCAGCACTTTAAGGGTCCAGGCTTTCTGCAGGATCTGTTGAGAGTGTGAGGATCTCACAGCTCCTCTCCCTACATTGTGGTAAAACCTCAACCCCTACACTCCAGGCCCTGTGTCGGGCCAAATGCCCGTGGAGCCTGCCATGGTGGTAACCCATGACCACTCTGGCTTTCATATTCCTCTTTGTTTCTGGCTTCTAGGAATTTGTCCTTATTTTAAGCTCGTTGAATTTTCTGTTATATTTTGTCCTGCATTAAATGTGTTTGTAGAAAATGGGGAGCTCTTTTATTTTGTTGCCAAATAAATTCCCAATGCTGATCCATTGTTCATAATCAGAATTTGTTCTATTTTAGAATGAGCTGCAGAAGTTTATGGATGTTACATTTGAAAACATTCAAAACACTAATCAAGCTCTAAGTATGTTAAAGAAATTTGAAAGGTAAAAATTTGAAATAGTATTTCAAGTTCTATTTTCTAAAATTGGGGTAATATGAACATAGTTTAGCTTTTATTAACATTGTTATTAGTAGCATTGTTATCATTATTTCATATTGCAATGGGAAAAAACACCCTCGGCAATCTGGGTCACAAGGTCTCAGTTTTTAAGTTCTTCAGAGGATTAAGAGAATTAATCCTCTTATGGATTAAGGATTTGTTTTATTTCTGCAAATAGAGAATACTCTTAGCTTTGAAGTACTTTGTCACTGCCTATATAGTAATATTTCCTGATGCTTAAGTAATTTGAAGAACTCATCCCAGATTAATAGTTTTGCCTACATTTAAATATTGATACTATTTTGATTGTTTTAGTATGCCACACAAACAAGTAATTCTTTTCCATTAGCATATGTTTTAAAATAAATATTAATAAATGAGATTAGTAGATATCTTCGTATTAATTCATGTCTTTTGCTTTTTGTTTTTGATCAGATTGAATATACCTAATCTCGGTATTGATGAAAAATACCGACTTATCTTTGAGAACTATGGGGCTGACATTGATATGATTTCAAAGCTGTATACAAAGCAGAAATATGATCCTCCTTTGGCTCGAAACCAGCCTCCCATTGCTGGGAAGATTTTGTGGGCTCGTCAGCTCTTCCACAGGATTCAGCAACCCATGCAGCTTTTCCAGCAGCACCCAACTGTGCTAAGGACGGCTGAAGCCAAACCTATAATTCACAGTTACAACAAGATAGCCAGGGTTCTTCTGGAGTTTGAGGTCCTCTACCACAGGGCGTGGCTTCAACAAGTGAGCCTCTAAATTTATGCTCTTCCAGAGGTCTCCGTTGCTGAAACAATCAGAACCCTTCCTTTAGCATTTGACAGTGTTATTCCTATAGAAAGTTTGGTTTGCAGGTATTTTATAAGACAGTTTGGTGAATCTAACTAATCAGCCATGAAGAAAAATTACTAAAAACCTTGAAAGAAAATTATAATCCAGATAACAGAAACCTATTTTTATTTAATGTACAGACTTCTACATGAGAAAATCTGGTTTATTTGTTCCTCTACTGAATTGGCTAGGATTTCTTTCTTTTTTAAATTCAGTAAGATCCTGAATGTGTCCGTATACAGCATTTTGCCTGTTAAACAAAGCCTTAAATTTCCTTTGGCCGTAGTAGTGTTTAATCAACTTATACCCTACCAATATTTGTATTTCTTTGTAGATTCACAGGAAGTGATATCTCCATAGATAACTGAAAACTGAGTTTAGTAGGTTTAAGAAACCTTTATTAGGAAAAATAACTGAGTAGACCTAAAGGTCCCAGGGAGCTAAATGACTTTCAAGAAGTTGCCATTATTGTAAATCCACTTATCTGTCAGATGTGAGACAGATATTTTACATTTTAAAATACTTTATTGAATTGTCTGTGCAACATCACTATCAGAACTTAAAGGCTACTTTCTGAGAGTGAATTAGATGAAAGAGTGATCCCGTTGCGTTCAATTTAGGAAGCTCATGTCCACGGAAGAACACTTAACGATCTTCATTCCCAGAGATGGCTGAACTGGATATTCTGTGTATGCATTGAACTTTCTAAAAGGAAAAATGTTTATTTCTCCCACAGATTAAAGAAATCCACATAGGTCTTGAGGCTTCTTTATTAGTGAAGGCTCCAGGCACAGGAGAATTGTTTGTAAACTTTGATCCTCAGATACTCACCTTGTTTAGAGAAACAGAGTGCATGTCACAGATGGGTCTGGAAGTCTCCCCATTTGCAGCTGCCCTCTTCCAGAGAAGGGAGAGATATAAAAAGAACTTCAGTAACATGAAGGTATAGTACTTTTTTCCCCCTTTCTGTCTAGCTCTAGAATGCATTAAAAAAATTTGGTGGGGTGTCACATTCGAGGAAAAGGTGGTGGCAGGATGACTGAAATGGAATGAGTCAAGGGGACAGGGCTGTGGAATGAGGCTGCAGAGTTGGCTAGGGCCAGGTGTAATGTGGGAGCCCCAAGTCTGACAGGGCACTTGCATAGTGTTTACCTGTTCCAAAGAAATCACCCAGAGGTCCAGCAGGTAGAGACACTGGTTTATTAGACTTAATGAGAGGTACTGAGGCAGCAGTCAGTCAGAAATCCATGCCGCTGTAGAATACGTGGAATACATACAACAGTTATATACTTAACAGATCAGAGTAGGGGTATAAATCATTTCCAGGCTTATGTGAAGACCTTCACCCAGCTCACATAACTCAGAGCGTGCAGGAGATCTGGCTGGGTAGATAAGTTAATCTACTGCTACTCTCCTGGTGCCAGAGTGTTTGTTCATTTTTAGGGTCCCTGCTCCCTCCAGCTTCTGTTTGTCTTAAAGAGGACCTGCCTTTCCTTGGGTAACTTACCTTGGCCAGAGGTAGTCTCCCAGGAGGGAGGGGGAACTCTGGTATGTACGGGGAGAGGAGAATAGGGCTATGTCCGGCATTTACTGTACACCAGGCCATTACAGGTCTTGTAGACCAAGACTGGAATTTCAGATTTTACTTTGAGTGTACCAGGAAACCACTGGAGGACTTTGAGCCAGAGAAAAAAGCAAAGCCTATCTCCTTTATAGTAAAAATCATTCTTGCTGCTGGGTGGAAAATGGATTTTAAGGGGGACAAGAGTATCAGTGGGAAGCCAATTTAGTGGGCTGTTGTGCTGTTCAAGGATGGAGATGATGGTGGCTTGAACCAGGAGAGCAGAAGAGTCAATTGGAAAATTTAGATAGTTATGTCAACAGGTAGGTTATGAAAGAACTCAGGGGTAATTCCTTTGTTTTTCGTGTGAGCAACTCAATGAGTTGAAGTAGGGCTACCATGTATTGCTGTGTAGGTTGCCTTCTGCACACTGTGCACAATAATGTACAGTGGCCCTGAATGTAAGTTCCATTTATAGAGGGGGAAAAGACTGGAATTAACTAATTTTGGGGGCAGGAGGAAATCAATACTTCTTATCTTCTGCATAAGATAGTTTTTAGATAGGATATAAATATATATCCTAACCACAGATAGGATATCTAAAAACTATCTTACGCAGAAGATGAGAAGTATTGATTTCCTCCTGCCCCAAACCATATGGAGATGGTATCCATGCAGTTAGATGTGTAAGTCTGGAGTTCAAAGTTGGAAGCATACTTTTGAAAGTATCAGAATATAGTCGCTATTTAATGTCATTGTCCTGGATGAGAGCTCTTATGGCGAGAATACAAACAGAAGAGTAGAGGGCCATTGGACCAAACACTGGGTTGCTCCAATATTGAGAGGTCTGATAGAAGAGGACTGATATACACATAAAACTAAGGGTTGATGCTACAGGAAGAAGGAAACCAAGTGTCAAAGAAACCAAAAGTAAGAAAAAGTTTATGAAGTTGGGACTGGTCACCAGTGACAAATGCTGCTGCCCAGAGAATGAGAAAGCTGAGGTCAAAGATATGGCCATGATATTTGACAACAAGGAAACCATTGTTAAAATTTCACAGCAGTTCGGGGCTGGCCCGGTGGCGCACTGCTACAGTGCGCTGCTTGGGAGTGTGGCGGTGCTCCCGCCGAGGGTTCGGATCCCACATACAGACCAGTTCCCGCTCACTGGCTGAGCGAGGTGTGGGCGCGACACCGAAGATTGCGATCCCGTTGCCGGTCCCGGTCCGGTACGGGCGCGACACTGAGGGTTGCGATCTGTTGCCGGACACGAAAAAAGACAAAAAGGAAAAAAAAAAAAATTTCACAGTAGTTCACATCATAAGATAATACCAATTCCACATGTTTGCATTGTGTCTTACATTTTAAGTCATTTGTCAGCTCATTATTTCATTTGCTCTTTTCTACCACCACGTTAGGTAAGTAGGACAGAATACTATTATTTTATTTTATAGATGGCAAAACTGTGGCTCAGAGAAGTTAAATTACTTAGTCAAGGTCATAGCTAGTAAGTGGCAGAAATAGGACCAGAACCCAGACTTGTAGTCTACTAGTTTCCCACTATTTCATATCCTCACTTATAAGTGGGAGCTAAAATAGAGAAAAAAAAGAAAGGAAGAAAGAAAGAAAGAGAAAAGCACAGTACTACATTAAACTTTCACGCTATCTTAAAAAGTTAATATTGGCAAAGGACAGACATTCCTCAAATGTGGGCTCAAAATATTAATCAGCATTTTGGGCTTTCTTTTCAGACTCTTGCATGTTAGGAAAACCACATAGTCAATCTACATATTCACACACAAAAATATTTTTACTAAGAAATACTAGTTATAAGATTATAAAATTACCAGTGACAGCTCTCCTAGAGAGCTGTTGTTTCAGTGTAGTGGTTTACTACGAACATTTGTTATATGTCATGACTGTAGGTGAAGAATTTGAGTGGGGCTTGGCCAGGTGCTGCTTCTGCTCCGTGTGGTATTGACAGAGGCTGTCAGTGGTGCTCAGCTGGCCGACATTCCATCTGGAAGCTCCAAGATGGCCTCATCTCATGTCTGGTTCTTTGGTGATGATGGCTGGAAGGTGCACTCAGCTGGGACTGTGAACTGGAGCATCTACACAGCCTTCCAGGATGGAGGCCTCAGACTAGTAGAGTTTCTTATATGGCAACCCAGGGTTCCCAGAGCAAGCGTTAAACTGAACAAGGAGGGAGCTGCATGGCCTTTGTGTCAGCCGCAGGTGTCTCACAATGTTGCTTCAGTTGTATTCTGTTTGGTGCCATAAGCCCACCCAGATTCAAGGGGAGGGGACATGGACCCCACTCCATGAGGAAAGGAGGGTCAAAGGATGTTTGAAAACCACCACAGTTGTACGTGACATTTCCAGGAAGTAAATTATCACCGGGTTGAATCTTGGAGGTTGAAAGAATTAAGGGTCCGCGCTCAATCTGAGTAGCTGTTAAAAGCAGATGTATTGGTAGGTTTGGGGGGCAGTCTAAGGTGTTGCAGAGTTATTGTGCTGGTTATTTCACAGAGTTTTCAGACTTCTACAGACATGACAAAGTAGCTGAAAGTTTGTTTTCTTCATCTTTTCCTCAGAAGATAGTTGAAACTAGAAGGGGATGAGCTGGCACAAGCTAACAGTTACAAATATAAATTCTGAAGCCAATTTGATCTGGATTAAAACCATTATCTTTGGGTAAATGACTTTACCTTCTAAGCCTTGGTTCCTCTTTTTCACAATAGACAAATAATGCCTCCTGGGGTTAAAAGATTAAAGGTGAGAAGTAGAAAGCCTGCTGGAGGCAGGTTCTAGGAACTGCTTTCCAGATAGAATAAGTGATGGACATTAAATAAAAAGGTAAGCAGTGGATAAAATTTCAGGAAATGTCTAAGTAGCTGATAATAGAACCATCAAACTTAGACTCTTCTAAAGTGACTTTTATGGAAATTGTGGAAAAGTATTATATGAAAAAAAGATTATGAGGTCTGTTTGGAAATATTGGATTTGACAAAATTCTCAACGCCCTTCAGGGCTTCTTACTTCCTTATAGCAGGTTTTCCAGAATCACTAATAGTAATTGTGACTATCCAAACGGGAGATATTGTACACAGAATTTTCCAAATTTATCCATCTAGGAGCTATTTTTGTTACAGAATCTCTTGGGCCTAGTACTCCAGGGAAAACACTGTGGAAAACATTGATCTAATATCAAGGAATACCAATATGCACATTACAAATACGGGCTTAATACAACTGTATGTAGGAGGCACATTAAAGTTACTTTCTTATAATTAATGATTAGTGATATTGACATTAACCTGAAAGGTAGGCTGGAAGTACTATTAGGCTTATTTAAAAATGGTAACATATGAACAAACATAATACAACATTATATAACAGGTAAATTTCAATAGGGGACAAAAACCCATGAATTTCAGATCACAAGTGCTCCTTCTGATAAGAACTAATTCGTTAATTAGAGAAATATTGATTGATTATTTTCTATGTATCAGGTACTGTTTCAGGTACACTGAAAAAAGCAGACAAAATTCTTGTCCTTGTACAACTTATATTCTAGTTGCGTAAGAAAGGTAATGAGCAATGAACATTGTAAACAGGTAAGTTATATAGTCTATTGGAATAAAGTAATAGGTGCTATGGAAAAAATAGAGCAGGGGATAGAGAGTGTGAGTTGTTTATGGTGGTGGTTTACAATCTTAAATAGGTAGCAGGATAAGCCTAATTGAGAAGGTGGCATTTGAGTAATTATTTGGAGGTGGTGCAAAGACTTGTCCGATACTAAGGACAAGGAAGGCAGACAGTAAAGCAGGAGCAGGTAAGAGAGGGGAAGGGTGGTTGGAGATGAGATCAGAGAAGTAACGGGGATCAGATTAGGTAGGTCTTTATAGATCAATATAATAGCCCTGAATTAGATGGAAAACCATATAGCCATGTAAGCAGAGGAGTGACATGATCTGACTTACATTTTTTTTGAAAAGTTTATTTTATTTTTAGCTGACATATAATACCATTGAAAGGATCACCCTTGCTGCTAAATTGAGCCTAGACTTTAGTGGGCATGGGTGGAAGCAGGGAGACAGTGGTAGATCATTCCAATAATTTAGGGAAGAGGCAATAATGGCGGTCGCGGTGGATATGGTTAGCAGGTCAGACATAGGAACTCTTTCAAGTTCAGAGCAAACAAGATGTCCTGATGGATAGCGTGTGTGTGTGTGTGTGTGTGTGTGTGTGTGTGTGTGAGGCGGGGGGGGGAGAGAGAGAGAGAGAGAGAGAGAGAGAGAGAGAGAGAGAGAGAGAGAGAGAGTCAAAGTCAAGGATGACTCTGAGTTTTGGACTGTGGACTGGAAGGATGAAATAGCCATCAGCTGAGATGGGGAATGCTGTGGGTAGAAGAGGTTTTGAGGAAGAACAAACTTTCAGTTTTGGACAGGTTAAATTTGAAATGTCTGTTAGATATCCGAGTGGAGATATTGAGTATGTTCTTGCTATATATGAATCTAGACTTCAGGAGTGAGATCTGGGCTGGAGAGGTAAATTTGCTTGTCTATGGCATATGGGTGAGATTTAAAGCTATGACACTTGATGAAATTAACACTGGATCCTGACTCTCCCAGTGTGCTTTGGGTGTTACATCAAAAATTGGCCTATTACGCCAGCAATGGGCTGAGGTAGACTCTGGTGACCCAGAGGCTTTGGGTGATTTGTGTTGTCCAGTGCCCAGAGGAGCAGGATGCACATTGTCCAAAGTTGAATGAATGAGTCTGGTGATGCACAGGCTAAGCACAGTTACCATGACTTCACGTGGTTTGGAAAAGTTTTTTGACCTTAGCTTTTCTCCTCTTTTAGGTTGGGTAGGAGGTGAGATACCTTTACTTTTAAATTCTTCTTCTTTTTTTTTTTTTTTTGGTCCAGCCCGGTGGTGCACTGCTACAGTGCGCCGCTTGGGAGTGCGGCGGCGCTCCCGCCGAGGGTTCGGATCCCACATACAGACTGGTTCCTGCTCACTGGCTGAGCGAGGTGCGGGTGCAACACTGAGGGTTGCGATCCCGTTGCCAGTCCCGGTCCAGTACGGGTGCGACACTGAGGGTTGCGATCCATTGCCAGACACGAAAAAAGACAAAAAAAGGAAAAAAAAAAAAAAATTCTTCTTTTTTTTATCCTTAGTTGTATTTTATTGGATTAGGAATTTGTAATGATGAAGAGTCTTTCTTGTCTGTTCTTTTCTTATTTTGTTTTGGCCACTCTACCTACGAGGCTTTTAGAGCCCTGCAATTTTACTCTAAATAGAAGGAATCATTTTGTATAAAAAAATGAGATATTAGTAGATATTTAAAGTGAGATATTAATTGATTACGAAGCCCCCATTTCATGGCAGATGATGTTGGCTGAATATCAGAGAGTGAAGTCCAAAATGCCTCCCACCATTGAGCAACTGATGGCCCCTCATTTGGCTAAAGTAGACGAAGCTCTCCAACCTGGCCTGGCTGCACTGACCTGGACGTCACTGAATATTGAGACATATCTAGAAAACACTTTTGCAAAGATCAGTAAGTCTGTCCCAATGCCTACTAGTTCTAAGTTTTAAAGACTGAGTTCTTAACATCTGTTGTATAATTCCTTATTGAGATGGTGGTGTAGATAATGAAATGGGGGGGTGTTATTCTTGAGCTGTTCCATAAGGAATTGTACCAAAGTATATGAACGCAGTAATTTCCCGGAAACTATAAATATTTGCTATTTGATTTTATCCCCAGAGATTAACTACATATTTTTATTTATTTTTATTTTTGGACCTTTAGAGTTATTCAGTTTTTTATACTAACAGGTTAGTGTATTTTGAAATCCCAGTTTGAAAGTTGTGGAGATTTGGATAGAGTTGGGTGTTAAACAACAGGATACATGGGGAAAGTTTAAACAAACACTATTTTTTCTTCATGAGGGATAGAATACTTTTAAATATATGTAAGGTAGTATATTTCATAAAATACAGTTTCCCAGAATGTGTTCGGATATGCTACAAACAAGGGGTCTGGCCTCAAATGGATCTGGGAAATCCAGAGTAAGCAGTTGGACAGGTTTCTTCTCTAAAGGACTTTTCAGAGCCTTAAATATACCAGTGTCCAGTGGTCTCCAAAAGTGGGTTCCTGTATGAGGCATTTTCCAGAATTCCCTGGCTGCCTTCTAGGAGAACACATTAGCCCCTTCCGGATCTTCCGTGGTAGGCAGCGAACACAGTTTGGAACATGGTAATGGAGGGTTTTTTCAGGAAGACTTAGACGTTGCCATTCTACTCTCCTTTCTCCTCTGCATGGCCCACTTGTCCCCGCTTTCTATAGCCCAGGGTAGATCCTACTCCCAAGAAGCCTATTCTGACTACCTCCCTTATGTGACTACTTCCTTCTGTGACCTCCTGCTGTATTTATAGTTGGGACCAGAGACTGTATATTTTGCTTGTCTTCTAATGATTTAGTAATGAAAATCAGGCTGTTTCGTATTACTTGGGTGCATAGTAGACACCCATATACTTACAGATGCATAATTGCAATCACTTTATATAGTTAGTCCTTTCCATTTTTGATGTCCCCAACCTCATTCCTACTTCTTGAACCTATCACCTCATTTCTGGGTTATTCCTTCTTGGGCCTGCCTTCTAGATACCTCTTGTGATGCCTCATTTTATTCTCTGTCTCTGTCTCTGTCTCTCTGTCTCTGTTTCTCTCTCTCTCTCCCTGCCTCCCTCCCTCCCTTCCTTAGGTCTTTCTCTTGGTCTGGTATTTGTAGCTGTGGAAGTAGTACCTGGTCTATTTATAAGCTAAATTGTTAACAGTTGTCTTGTCAGTAGGTTTTCACTGTACTTTCCAAATATCTTAGGGCTCAGAAGGGTCCAGCTATTTAAATAAACAGGTGCTTTATACTCAAGAATGCTTGAGAAGTATTGAGGTGGAGCGGGGAGTAGAGTGAGAAATTATGGTTGAACCTCCTGCCCTCACCTCCTTTGTTTTGCTTTAAAGATTGGGAGCTAGATTCAAAGACAAATTATAAAGGGGTTCTTGGATATGAATGAAATGTGTTTTAGGCTCATTACAATTTGAAGGTTAAATAATATAAAATGAATTATCAGACAATTATAACATAATAGGGGTAGAGGAAATTATAGAAGTAATCTTAAATAGTACCCTTGACTTAAAGGTTGGAAAACTATGATCCAGAGATGTTAAGTGATTTCTAATGTTACATAGATTTAAGCAATAAGAATGAGTTTAGAACCCAGTTTCCTTGCCTCTAAATCAATATTCCTTCCTAAAGTACATCTTCTTGGGAAATAAAACAAGAGGAAATTGGCTAAAATTCTCTAAGGAGTCATTTATAAAATGTGTAAAAACTTCATTGTAAGAGATATCTCAATCAAATTAGAACAGGCTACCAAGGTAGACTTTAGTAATATTATTCCTAGAGAACATTAGTATTAGAGTGTTAACAGTTTGGATGTTTTATCAGTGTTAGCTGGAGACAAGGAGATAGCTTCTAAACAAACTTCTTAGTTGTCATATTCTATTGTGTTTTCCTTTTTGTAGTTTAAATTAAGGAGCTAGGGTAAAACAAATGTTAAGTTTCTTTGGGAGACAAATTATGTTAAATCTCATGAACAGTTGGATTCTTTATTGGATTAGTGAGCCAACCCTTCAATTTATAGGTGGTTATTTGTATCATGCATTTAAGAGAGTACTGGCACTCTTCAAAATAACAAACAGGACTTCTATGGACAGTTTTGTACAATGTATGCATAAGTGTTGTGTTAATTTCTTATTACTCTGTTAAGAGTCGCCACAAGCTTAGCAGCTTAAAATAACACGATAATGGAGCTCAAAAATCTAAAAGTCTTATGGAGCTAAAATCAATATGTCATAAGGAAGGGTTTCTTCTGGAGGTTCCAGAGGAGAATCTTTTCCTTAGCACCTGTCAGCTTCCGGAGGCTATCTACATCTGTTGGCTTATGGCCATTCTGCCTTCAAAGCCAGCATCTTCAAATCTCTTTCTCTCTGCCCTTCCATGGTCATATTGTCTTCTGTCTTGACCCTGACCCTCCTGCCTCCCTCTTATTTTAAGGATCCTTATGACTACATTAGCTTCACTTGGATAATCCAGGACAATCTCCCCATCACAAGATCCTTAACTTGACCACTTCTGCAAAGTCCCTTTTGCCAGGTCAGCTAACATTCACAGAGGATTAGGATGTGGACACCCTTAGGGGGGTATTTTTCAGTTGCCCACAGATGTCTTTGAAGATGCTTTGAAGAATCAATTGGTTAGAAAGAGTAAAGAATTTTACTGAGCACACGTACTTAAATAAAAGTGTTGGCTCTCTTTTAGTAGCGAAAAAGTCTAACAGGCAGAACTATTTGGTATCCTGAGTAGCCTCTTTACTGATTAGCTTAGAAATGATCAAAAACTTTTAGGCTTTTATTCTTTAGGAAGAAAAGGTATTTACTTAAGGAAATGTTTATGTCTCTGATACATCATTAGTATATCATATACTAATATGAAGTTCATATTAGTACATGAACTTCAAAAAGTTCATGGAGGGGCTGGGCGGCTAGCTCACTTGGTTAGAGGAGTGGTGTTGATAACACCAAGGTCAAGGGTTCGGATCCCCATACTAGCCAGCTTCCAAAAAAGAAAAAAAGAATCATGAAAAGGTTTGTGTTATCTTACAATTATATTTTTCCATAAACATTTTGGAGTATCCTCATATAACATTGACTTTACTCTATTTAATTTCAACTTCACTTCCTAGGAGAAAACAGCATTAGAAAAAGAGATATCTTACTTCATGGTCTCTATTGAAAAATGTGTTATCTCTTAGATGAATATTCATTAACCATCATTCCTACTTTTGATGTAAAATTGTTGTTAGTTTCCTTCAGAGTTGGCCTTTTCATCCATGGAAGTTAGTGTTTGATATTATTTCAGCACAACTGAAAAAAATGTACCTTATGATAGTAAGAGTTAAAAAAAAGAAAAATGGGCATTTCACTTCAGTAATATTTGTTGAATGCCTCCTGTGGAATAGGCACTGGGCTAAATGTTGAAGGTGTAAGCATGTAGAAAATGAATTCCAGAAAAGACAAGACACATGAGTAGACAGCGTGCTATGCACAGGGATGGAAGGATGCGCAGGCAACCCAGGCAGTACAGGAGCCGAGGACCACCCTAATACAGGCAGATTCACAGAAAGCCTCCTGGGGTAGATGTTCTCAGATGCAGGCAGGTGGAGAGAGCTGGGAAACTGGTTAAAGAGAAGATAGCATGAGACAACTCAGTGTGAAACAGCTGGGGACATATGTAAACCGAGAAAGTTTAATCCTGGTTTTATTACTGTCATTTAATCAAGTGTTGATTTTTTAAACAAACTACTTCACTTAACCTCTTTTATTTTCTTCTAAAGAGGACCTGGAGTTGCTGCTTGACAGGGTCAATGACTTGATTGAGTTCCGCATTGCTGCCATTCTAGAAGAAATGGGCAGCACGCCTCTTTGTCACCTTCCCCAGGAGGAGCCACTCACCTGTGAAGAGTTTCTCCAAATGACAAAGGTTATTAGAAGAGTGATATTTTTTAAAAAATATATTTTTGTGATTTGTTTTTCTATAAAGGGCATTGTTGCAAAGCATAAATTAGCTTTTTTTCTCTAGTTGGGATGCTGTGTGATAGATGTGATTCAAACATGGAACCCTCTGACAATAACATGAAAATGAAGAGAATTTTATCTAAACAGTCACTTAGATATGAGGAACAAATCATTTCAGCTCAGTAGGAGGGAAACTGGTGTGGAACACACTTCTGATTTTTCCATATTTTATGAAGAGTAGGACTATTTTGCAGAAGAACGTCTAGTAAGCTAGGGTTAATTAATAAAGAATTGCTTAAAATTTTTTTTCTTTATTGAAACATAATTGATTGTACATATCTGTGGGGTACCACACTGAATATCAATATTTGTACACTATATGTGATGCTCAAATAAGCAACATTACACAATGTAATCATTTTTCGTGGCCCTTCAATTTCTCCCTAACTACTCCTCCCTTCCCCCTTTTCCATCTCTGGTAACCTCAGTTCTGTTCTCTCCTTTTGGAAATTCAGCATATTATTGTGATTGTTGTATTATTCTTTCTTTTTCTTTTCCTTATTATTATTATTATTGTTATTATTTTTAGCTCCCAGGTATGAGTGAGGACATGTGGTATTTCTCTTCCTGTGCCTGGCTTACTTTGCTTAGCATAATTTTCTCCAAGCTCATCCCTGTTGCTGCAAGTGGCAGAATTTCATTCCTTTTTATGGATAGTTGTATTCCATTGAGTATATAAACCATATTTTCCTTATCCAGTCATCTGTTGATGGACATTTAGGTTGGTTCCAACTCTCAGCTATTGTGAATAGAGCTGTGATAAACATGGGAGTACAGGTATCCCTTCAACATGATGATTTCCATTCCTTTGGGTATATACCCAGTAGTGGGATTGTTGGATCATATGGCAGTTCTATCTGCACTTGTCTGAGAAACCTCTATACTATTTCCCATATTGGCTGCACCATTTTACAGTCCCACCGACAGTGTAGGAGGGTTCTCCTATCTCCACATCCTTGCCAGCATTTGTTATTCTCTGTCTTCTTGATAATAGCCAGTCTAACTGGGGTGAGATGGTATCTCAATGTGGTTCTGATTTGTGTTTCTCTGATGCTTAGCAATGGTGAATATTTTTTCATGTGTCTTTTGGCCATTTGTATACCTTCCTTTGAGAAATGCCTATTCAGCTCCTTTGCTCATTTCTGAATTGGGTTACTTGTTTTTTTTTTTTTTTTTTTTAACTGTTAAGTTGTTTGAGTTTCTTGTATACTCTGGATATTAATCCCTTATGGAATGCATAGTTACAAATGTTTTCTCCTATTTGGTAGGTTGTCTTTTTGCTCCGTTAACTGTTTCTTTTGCTGTGTAGAAGCTTTTTAGTTTGATATAATCCCATTTGTTTATTTTTTCTTTTTCTGCCTGTGCTTTTGGGGTCATATTCATAAAATCTTTGCCCTGTCTTACTTCTTGAAGTGTTTCCCTTATGTTTTCCTTTAGCAGTTTTGTAGTTTCAGGTCTTATATGTGCATCTTTAATCCATTTTGATTTGATTTTGGCATATGGTGAGAGGTATGGGTCTAGTTTAATTCTTCTACTTATGGATGTCCAATTTTCCCAGCACCATTTATTGTAGAGGCAATCTTTTTCCCAATACAGGTTCTTGGTGCTTTTGTATGTGGGTTGATTTCTGGGTTCTCTATTCTATTTCATTGGTCTGAGTGTCTGTTTTTATGCCAGTATCATGCTGTTTTGGTTAATATAGCTTTGTAGTATACTTTGAGGTCAGGTAGTGTAATACCGTTAGTTTTATTTATTTATTTTTTTGCTCAGGATTGCTTTGGCTGTTCAGGGTCTTTTGTTATTCCATATGAATGTTAGGATTGGTTTTTCTATTTCTGTGAAGAATATCACTGGCATTTTGATGGGGATTGCATTGAATCTGTAGATCACTTTGGGTGGTATGGACATTTTCACATGTTGATTCTTCTAATCCAAGAACATGGAGTGTATTTCCATCATTTTGTGTCCTGTTTAATTTCCTTCAGCAGTGATCTGTAGTTCTCATTATAGAGATCTTTTACCTCCTTGTTTAAGTTGATTCCTAGGTATTTTATTTTTTTGGTGTCTGTGTAAATGGGTTAGCTTTCTTGATTTCTTTTTTCTGCTAGTTTGTTGTTGGGGTATAAAAATGCTATTGATTTTTGTTTGTTGATTTTATATCCTGAAAGTTTACTGAAATCATTTAGAGTTTTTTGGTAGAGTCTTTAGGTTTTTTTTAATATATAGGCTCATGTCATCCACAAACATGGACAGTTTGACTTCGTCTTTTCCAATCTGGATGCCCTTTATTTCTTTCTCTTGCCTGATTGCTCTGGCTAGCACTTCCAATACTATGTTAAATAGGAGTGGTGAGAGTGGGCATCCTTGTCTTGTGCCTGTTATTAAGGAAAAGGCTTTCAGATTTTCCCCTTTCAGGATGATATTGGCAGTGGGTTTGTTATATATGGCTTTTATAGTGTTGAGATATTTTCTTTCTATACCTAATTTGATGAGAGTCTTTATCATGAAGGGATGTTGAATTTTGTCAAGTGCTTTTTCTGTGTCTGTTAAGATAATCATGTTTTTGTCCTTGATTTTGATGACGTGGTATAACATACTTATTGACTTGCATATGTTTTTTTTTTTTTTCCTTTTTGTCTTTTTTCGTGTCCGGCAACGGATCGCAACCCTCAGTGTCGCGCCCGTACCGGACCGGGACCGGCAACGGGATCGCAACCCTCAGTGTTGCGCCCGCACCTCGCTCAGCCAGTGAGCGGGAACCAGTCTGTATGTGGGATCCGAACCCTCAGCGGGAGCGCCGCCGTACTCCCAAGCGGCGCACTGTAGCAGTGCGCCACCGGGCCGGCCCCTTGACTTGCATGTGTTGAGTCATCCTTGTATCCCTGGGATGAAACCCACTTGATCATAATGTATAATTTTTTTGATGTGTTGCTGTATTGTGATTGCTAATATTTTGTCAAGGATTTTTGCATCTGTGTTCTTCAAAGATATTGGCCTGTAGTTTTCTTTTTTTCTTTTTTTTTGCTGTATCTTTGGTTTTGGGATTAGGGTGATTTTTGCCTCATAAAATAAGTTTGGGAAAATGGCCTCTGTTTCAATTTTTTGGAGTAGTTTGTAGAGAATTGGTATTAATTCTTCTTTAAAGGTTCAGTAGAATTCTGTAGTGAAGCCATATGGTCCGGGAATTTTTTTGTTGGGAGACTGCTGATTACAGTTTCAATCTCTTTGATTGTTATTAGTCTATTCAGATTTTCTTTGTCTTCTTGCCTCAGTCTTGATGTTTGTGTGTATCCAGAAATTTACCCATTTCCTCTAGATTTTCAAATTTGTTGGTGTATTGTGTTTGTAGTAGTCTATAGCGATCCCTTGTATTTCTGAGGTATTGGTTGTAATATCACCTTTTTCATTTCTAATTTTTGTTACTTGTGTCTTCTCTCTTCTTTTTTTAGTTAGCCTTGCTAATGGTTTGTCAATTTTATTTATCTTTTCAAAAACCAACTTTTTGTTTCATTGATCTTTTGTATTGGTTTTTGGATTTCTATTTCATTTAGTTCTGCTCTGATCTTATTTATTTCTTTCCATGCACTAATTCTGAGGTTGGATTTTTCTTATTTTTCTAGTTCTTCGAGGTGCGGTGTTAGGTTGTTTATTAGAAATCTTTCTATTCTTTTGATGTAAGCATTTATTGAACTAAACTTCCCTCTAGTACTGCTTTTGCAGTATCTCACAGGTTCTGGTATGATATCTTATTTTCATTGGTTTCATTGATATCTTATTCTTATTTTCATTGGTTTCATTGATATCTTATTTCATTTCAGGAGCAATTTTTTGATTTCCTGTTTAATTTCTTCTTGGACCCATAGGTTGTTCAGGAGCATGTTGTTTAATTTCCATGTATTTTATAGTTTCCTGAGTTTTGCTTGTTATTTATTTCTAGTTTTAATACATTGTGGTCTGAGAAGATTCTTGAAATGATTTCAATTTTTAAAAAAATTGTTGATTTGTGACCTAACTCGTAGTCTATCCTGGAAAATGTTCCATGTGCTGATGAGAAGAATGTATATTCTGTAGTTGTTGGATGAAAAATTCTATAGATATCTGCCAAGTCCAGTTGGTCCTAAGTGTAGTTTAAGTCCTGTGTTTCTGTGTTGCTTTGTTGCCTAGATGATCTGTTCATTGCTGCGAGGTGCGTTCAGGTCCCCAACTATTATTGTATTGGGGTCTGTCTCCTGGAGTAATCTCCTGGAAGTGGTGCTCCCTGAAGGGCCCCTTACAATGTCTTTTTAGCATTATTCTCAATGGACATCCTGATGAAAGGGACTCTTCAGCGATGATTTTAATATGGTGTGTCAGGATCCCCAAGACCACTCCAACTAGGAGAACTCATGGAACTCAGCACGTAGTTGCAATCAAGGCTGACACTTCTTACTGTGACATGATGAGGAGACTCTGCTGGATGATAAGGGAAGAAGATAGGCAGATTCTGGGGAATCCCTCTCCAGGCCTCCTTATGCTTTCTCTCTCCCAGGAGGGCTCACACAAACTCACTTTCCCCCCAGCAAAGAAAATGCAGCAACCTGTGTTCTGCATTCTTCCCAGGGAAGCCCATTAGGGACTCAATGCCCAAGGATTTTATTGGGTCTTATTCCATAGGCATGCTCTGCCTAGCATGGACCAAAAATCCCAGGCTCCCAGAAGGAAAGCAGGTGTTCAGCATAAACCGTATTGTTTGCACTAGCAGTTGAGGCATGGCCAACCATCAATATCATCTGAGCAATCATGGGAATCCTCCTGAAATCCAAGCTCCCAGATGCAAGCCAAGGACCAACCTCACAAGTAGGCCTGAGATTGCTCTCCTTAAAAGCATGTGTTTAGGAGATAAGTTTAAAAGAAAGTTTTAGAATATTTATAAAATGGGAAAAATATCATTTTTATCATTACCATTGTAATAGTTTTGATGTATTTTATGCATCTTAATAAAGTTGTGACCCCTATTATACATATTTTTCATGTTGCCATATAGCTTTCATATTCACCCTTTTAAAGATGCCTTCAGAATAGTCTATTGAGTTCAGAATATTCAAACCATAGTTTAGTTACCAGTTTCTTGTTGCTGGACATTTAGATAGCTTCCAAAGTTTTTCTATTTTGCCAAGAGCTACAGTGACTATATTTATGTATCATATTTTTTCCCCCTTTAGGGTTATTTCCTCCCCCCACGTAAGATTATTGGGTCAAAGAGTATGGCTTTACTTAATGACTGAAGGTATTTGTAGCCAAATTGCTTTCCAAAAGGATGTTAACTTACAATGCCACCAGCAATGCAATGGTACCGACTTCACTGCCTTCTAAGAAACACTGTTTTATTATAATTTTCCAATTTTAGTTTAAATAGCAAAATCATGGGGCCTAATTTTAATTTGCAGTTTTGATAACCAATGTAAGTGAATAATTTCTCTTGAATTTGTTTGCTTTTTAAAATTCAATTATTTCTTCAACAATTTTTGTGGAGCTCCTATCCGAACCACTGTTGGGGATATATAGCAGTAAGCAAAACAGATAAAATCCCAGCCATCATGGAGCCAGCTTTCAAGTGGAGGATACAGAAAAACAAACAAACAAATAAGCCAATAGGCAAATGATATGTCAGGTGGTGATAAGTTCAATGGAAAAGAAATTAGGAGGGTAATGGAGAAAAGAAATACTTTACAGAAAGTTTTTATTTTATGTCTATGTCCAGGAATGACTTCTGTGATTATATCTGAGCAGAGGAAGTGTGAGAGCAAGCCATGTGCACATCCTTGTGGAAGAGCATATCAGGCAGAGAAAACAGCAGGTGCAAAGGCCCTGAGGTAGAGGCATGTTGTTATGGTGGCTGGAAGAAGGTGTTGGGTTGAAGTCCACTGAGGATGTTCATTGGCTGAGGAGAAAAATCAAGTGGAGAGGAAGAAAGGGGGTGGTTGGTGAGCATGGTCTCTGGGGAAGCAGGAGAAGTCATGATTCAGAACTCAGGTTGTGAGATTATTCTCAAATTGAAGGAGAACCATTGCATTCACTAAAACAGGAGAAAAAGGGGTTCATGGTGGGGGCCAATTTGTCTTCTGGATGAGGGTTTGGGGTTAGGGAGTTGGGTGAGTCCCCATGTCATGGCTTCCATGTGCTTTGTGTGGTAGAAGTCAGGTCGTTAGCTGAGTATGATGAGGACAGAGGTTGTAAAGATTTGAGGACACAGGGATTTGAGGACGCAGCTATTATGGGGTCTGGTTGATTAAAGGGACTATAGTCATGAGGGATGATTCCTGGGTAGCACGAGGGGCCAGATTGAGTTTGGGGACCATGAATTTCCAGTGCCAAGCATCTGCATCACCATGATCTGTGTGTGCAAGTGGAGAGGGTAGACCACCTGGTTCATTTGGGTTGGGATTCTCTGGGGTGCAGCAGTGTAAGGAGTGATGGAGTGAAGGATATTGGCAAAAGAATGGCTGAAATCAGAAATCATCTTGTGACGGGAGGACATTAGCCAGGGGCTATGTGAGTAGACCTGGAGCCAACGTGGGGTCTGCCAGAGCTGAAGCTCCATGCTGATTCATCAAGGACAAGGCTACTCAGGATTTGAAGACAGAACCTTTCAGTGGATCCCAATGTCCAGGTGTCATCACGGGGGTGAGTTGTTGAAATGAAGCAGGGTGAGTGGAAGCAGTGTCTTTGATATATTTTGTTGACATGGGAACATTTTAATGAATCTGTTTATTACTACTTTCTCCTCATTCTGTTTATATTCTGCTGTGTTAATTTCTATGCTGTTTACATTTTTATGATTATGTCTTCTCTTAGAGTATTAAGGGATTTAAACCATTCTATTAGAACTATACTAGCCTTTGACAGGTTATTAATCCTGTCTTCCAGAACCCTCACTAAAAAGGAATTTTGTAATTTCAAATGTGTGTTTGTATTACTGAGAGGACTAGAAGAACGGCTGGAAAGTTAATTGAGGTTTCCCTGGGAGAGCTTCTGGCATTGAGAACGAGATATCACATCGTGTGTTTCTTTTCAAGGTAGAGTCAGAGGAATTAAGATGCAGACTTTAAAAAATATTAGCCATCTTTCAGAGAATTACATATATAAATGAGGTGAAGGAGCTTGGCAGATGTTCAGGTCCTGCAGTTGTGTGCTTTGCTGACCTGTGATGGTAGCAAGCGCTTCTTGAATCCTTCTGTGCCAGGCACTGCTCTCAGCATTTTGCATGCATCATCATATGGAATACTTGCAAAAATCTAAGGTGGGTTCTACCATTATCACCATTTTATAGAAAGGGAAACTGAGGCCAAAAAGGATTTTCCAGAATCATGCAGAGCTACGATTTGAACCCAGGAAATTTGGTGTCAGAGTTTATACTTGTTACTAGGTGATGCTTATTCCACTGCCTCCCTTACCTAATCTCTGACCTGCCTCTTTTTCTTTGTCTCTTTTTTTGTAACTGTCCCCAAGCTAGGGGTGAAGATTGGTGTTGGGTAAAGTTCTGAGTTGAGAGTGAAGTTTTATCCTTTATTTCATGATAAAGTAGTCTGTTTCTAGACACATCAGAATGTTCCTGTGCTAATGGCATTGAAGTGCCATGTGTCCTACAGCAGTGGAGGGGAGGTGAAGGTCGTTGTGGTGAGGAGGTGACAGAAGCACGAGGCTGATATTTGAAGGGGATGGTCCAGGACACATAAGAGAATCTTGGGATGAGTAATGGTGGACGTGGAGCTGGAGACCATGACCGATGGACAGAGTCTGTTGTTTCATGGGCTGACTTTCCAATCAGGTGGTAAATCACTGATTCTGTCTATCCCATCTATCTATCTGTGTGTCTGTCGATCAACCCACCCATCTATCATTGTCTGTCTAATCTCCTACAGGATCAATCACAGTGCCCCTACTCATATCAGTTTATATTTGTGAAATCTCATTCTTCAGAAATGTGTAATCCAGTTAAAGGGGAGGGAAATTTCTTTGAAATTAATTAAGACATGACCGTGGCTTGTTGGCAAAGATAAGGAGAGAAGGAAAGCTAGCTAGAGCGGATTTATGTAATATGAAGAAAACGTCACAGGAAGAGAGGCTGCTGACGGCTTTCAGAGTTATTTCCTTCTTTGCTAGAGATGTAAGTATAATTTTGGTCCATTCCCACTGTGCCAGTTGCTTCCCTTGTCTTTAACGCATTCCTTTGCAGGACACCTGGCCTGGGCTAGTGTGGAGGGTATGGCCACCGGGGGCTGAAATCCCTCCTGGAGACTGAACCGTGGTGTTGCTGCCTTTACTGGTGAGCTCTCAAGAGCTAGATAAACAAATATGACACTCTGCTAATCTTTTTTTTTTTTTTTATGGTTAGGACCTTTGTGTAAATGGTGCTCAGATATTAAATTTTAAAAGTTCCTTAGTGGAGGAAGCAGTCAATGAGCTAATTAATATGTTGCTGGATGTGGAAGTCCCATCTAAAGAAGAAAGTGAAAAAGTATCCAATGAGAACAGTGTTGATTCAAAAAACGAAAGTCCAGGTAAGCAATGGAGAAATGGAAGGGTCTTATTCTTCTCGGACATTTACTAAAAGCTAAAATTTAGTTTTCTGCATAGCAACTAATTTCACACTTCTGTAAACACCCTTGCAATTTTATAATGGTATTTATAAATCCGAAGTTACGATTCTGAGCATATGGTAATGATGATGTCATTAATTCCCGCAAGTTTTTGTTAAACTCTACAAACATGTATGTTGCCTTGGCCTTTGTTAGTTCTGTTTGCATTTATGAATGTGTGTGTTTTATTTCACTTTATCAGTAGAATAGAGAGGATTATGGATTGAAATTACACTTGGACAGCATCTAGACTAGAGCAAACCTTCTGCAGGACAGATGAGGACACTGAGACCGGCAGAAGGGAAGTAATTCCCTTAAGGTTTTATGGCTGTTGGTGGGAGAGAGAATGCCAGAACCCAGGTCCCCGGGCCCAGTCTAGTGTTCTCAGCTGCAGCTCCTGCTGGCTGGTTCCTCACGTGGAGGAGGAGCGGCTCCATCAGTTCATCTGGTGCCCCGACTTTCTCTTCCTACCCTTGGATGGCCTCGCTTTCCAACAAGTGTGACGTTTAAGTGATATTGAACTTGCATGTAACTTATCTTCATTTCCTTCCCTTTAATTGCAATATATGGTCTATTCTATCTATCTATCTGTCTATCTATCTATCTATCTATCTATCTATCTATCTATCTATCTATCTATCTATCTATCTATCTATCTATCTATCTATCTATCTATCTATCTATCTATCTATCTATCTATCTATCTATCTATCTATCTATCTATCTATCTATCTATCTATCTATCTATCTATCTATCTATCTATCTATCTATCTATCTATCTATCTATCTATCTATCTATCTATCTATCTATCTATCTATCTATCTATCTATCTATCTATCTATCTATCTATCTATCTATCTATCTATCTATCTATCTATCTATCTATCTATCTATCTACCTACCTACCTACCTACCTACCTACCTACCTACCTACCTACCTACCTATCTATCTATCATCTGTCTGATCTATTTCTATCTCTCTTATCTTGTAACAGCAAAAAGAGAAGGGAATTCCTACACCTTGACATCTTCCCTTAATACTGGGGCTGGCCTCTTGCCTTTGACCACAATCAAGAGAAAGAAGAAAGAGACTGAGATGTTAGAGGAAGAAGCCTGCGAGCTGCTGTCTCATTTTAACCATCAGAACATGGATGCGCTTCTGAAAGTTATAAGGAATACACTGGAGGCCATTCGCAAACGCATTCATTCCTCGCACATGATTAACTTCCGGGGTAATAATCCCACATGGTTTGCCTGCTGGCCAATCAGGCCTAAGTTGCTTGTGTGTGTGTGTGTGTGTGTGTGTGTGTGTGTGTGTGTGTAAGTATGTGTATAATGGTACTTCAAAAAGCTTATGGAAAGATAGAATTAAAAGATAATATGAATCTTTCCATGAACTTTAAAAAAAAATTATTTATTAGTATTATTATTTTTACATTCTAGGATATTGTTGCAGAGCAGTTGGGGAGGAAGGGGAGAGGGGAAGGGGGAGGGGAAGGGGGACAGAATGGGAGGAAGAGAAGGGAGGGGGGCACGATCAAGGCCTGTGGCACCCCCCTCATTCAGGCAGGGAAGCCCCAAAGCCTTCTGGTGCTGGCTTGGTTGTCAACACTGGGCTGGATGCTGATATCAGAGGGGTGTGGCTGAGGCCCTCGGCTTTCCCCCAACCCCAACCTGGAAGTCCTGGGGACTTCTGGTCCTTTTAGTTTATAAGTATTCTTTGGTGGTGTTATATCTTTACTGGTTAATATTAAAACTTTGTTTCTAATCTTTAGGGTTTTTATTTTTTCTTTCAGTTCTGTGTTGATTATTCACCATTCCCACCTCTCAGACCCTGCACCAGAACTAATTTGTTGTCCTTTGCTTACTTCTAAAATGGGGGAATTTTCTGTGGGGACCAGCACTTGAGTCCTGTGGTTGAGCTGAATTGCTGCTTTGCTGCTGATTCTCTGGGAAAGGCTTTTTAAATTGTTGACCTTCTAAGCAATTCGGGGTCTTGTGAGGTTCAGTACACTTGGGTTGTGTGGAAACTCTGGTCTGGGCCTGAGACTTTTCAGCAAACTGCACCCCCTGCAGTTCTATATTCCTGAAAGGTCTCCACTGAGTGGGCCTGTGCTGACTGGAGGACAGATGAGCTATCCATGCTGTGCACCAGTGTTCTCTGGGTGAGCCCATATCCCCTACCGCCTGCACCCCAAACACTTCCCAGGGGTGGGCCGTGTGCTGGTCCCTTGCAATGACCCACCAGCTTCTGCATGGCTCCTTTTTCAAGTTGTCTGTAGCCCCTCGCTCCTGTGTGGGTCCATGGGAACCCTGTTAGTGGTCTCACTGGCCTGGGGGCCACCAAGTCCCTCTTCTCCCCTGACACATCCAAGCAACTTCATACAAATGGCACAGGTGTGGCTTCTGCCAGCTCTTGCTCTGTGTGCTCACCAGGGCCAGCCTTGAAATAGCTGCAGCTCGAGGCAGTCAGAGTGGTCCTTTCTCTCATTGTGGCTGCTTCTGCCTTTGTGCACTCTGTAGGTCTCTCCACCTCTTCCGTTGAGCTCTAGTGGCCCCAGCTTGGCAGTTGTTGCTTTTTAATAGTCGTAAATTGGTTGGTTGTGGGAGAGGGCGATGCTGGGTACGGTCTATTCCTCCCTCTCGATCCCTTCTCCCTCTGTGAACTTTTTGAAGAGCCCTCATATTCCTGTCAAATTTAAATAATTTTAAAAACCCATCATTTATTGAGTGCCTCCTTGTAGGTTTATACATTATGAACTTTGATCATCCCAACAATTATATGAAGTGGATACTATTGTCACTGTCATTTTGAAACTGAGAAAATTGGAGAACAGAGAGGTTAAGTAATTTGTTTAAGGATGCTTAGCTTTTTTTTATTTTTTTTTTATTTTTTATTTTTTATTTTTTTTTGTCTTTTTGTTCCGTGTCCGGCAACGGATCGCAACCCTCAGTGTTGCCCCCGTACCGGACCAGGGACCGGCAACGGGATTGCAAACCTCGGTGTTGCTCCCACGCCTCGCTCAGCCAGTGAGCGGGAGCCGGTCTGTATGTGGGATCCGAACCCTCGGGCGGCAGCGCTTCCGCGCCTCCTAAGCGGCGCACTATCCAGTGCGCCACTGGGCCGGCCCTAAGGATGCTTAGCTTTTGTTAATAACATAAAAATTGGATCACTTAGAATCTTTCTGTGATCAGATGAAAACATGTAAAATGAATTATTTTAGTTAGTGACAGAAAAAATATTTAAAAAAAGACATATGGAAAAGAATTTTTTGTTGAATTATTATGTTATATAGTTTTATAAAGTGAGAAAGATCTTACTAATGTCACATTCTTCAAAACAAAACCTTTTTGCTGTTTTATGTCAATTTAGTGTTTTTCTCATTCTCAATATAATCCTCTCTTCCTAAGCACAAACAGGTGTTGCATTTCCCAGAGAAGCCACAAAAATCCATCAAATCTAGAGACAGTCTCAAATTGTTTTACATTAAAAAATAGTAAGAGCAAATTGAAATAACAGCAATTAATTAAAAATGAAAAATAGTATGATAATACAACCTTTTTATTTATTTAGAATACTGGCATCAAAGGGAAAGCATCTTTAATATTTAATTAAAATGAATAAAGTGGAAACTTTGAAAGAACTTTTTGTTTGGTGGCATGATTTATTATGTTTAATTTCACTTCAGAATAGAGGATAGTGCTTTTCTTTGACACAGGGTTAATATTAGAACTTATCAAATATTGGGTCAATATGCTTAATATTAAATCACAGGTTATTTCCCAACTATATATATATTATAGGTACATATATATAAAATAACTTTATATATATAAAGTTACTTATTATATATACATACACATATCTATATATAACCCATATCATATATAAAAAGACTCTTTTATATAAATGGTGTTATACCTTATTTCTTTTCCATTTTTTAACTGCTCTGAGTTTGGATTATACACACTCTGGTTGGAAAGGTGTATGTTTTATTTGAAATTCCACACTAGTCATTTGTTTTAATTTTGGTTTGTTCTGGTAGTTATTCTTGTTTTCCATTCCTTGCTTACTTACGAGGGGTCTTCCAAAAATTCATGGAAAGATTCGTATAATCTTTTAATTCTATTTTTCCACAAACTTTCTGAAGTACCCTGATATTTTACACTTAATTAATTTGTTGGCATCCTCTTATATGAACAGTGTTATCTTTAATATTTTTAATAAGATTTTACATGTCTTAGCCTGACCCCACACAGTGAGTTTTCTTTATGGAGGGTGTACCAATGAATTGCAATCAGCGGAAAATGGCTCGGGTTCCACTGAACTGCTACGTTAAATTGAGCAAAACTAGATCCTTGTTGGTTTTCATTCATTCAACCAATATTTGTCTGATTCTATATTTTATTTTTTTCTGATTAAAAATGAAGTAAATTCCATTTTTTTTTTCCTTTTTGTCTTTTTTCGTGACCGGTAATGGGATCGCAACCCTCAGTGTCGCGCCCGCACTGCGCTCCGGTCTCTATATGGGATCCGAACCCTCGGCGGGAGTGCTGCACTCTACCGAGTGCGCCACCAGGCCGGCCCAGTAAATTCCATTTTAAATGAAACATATTAACTCTTCCCTGTTTTGTATTAACTCAGACAGTAACAATGCATCTAAGATGAAGCAAAGCAGTCTGCCCATTTTCCGGGCAAACATCACTCTGGCCATTCCCAACATCGCCATGGCCCCTGCCTTAGAAGACGTGCAGCAGACACTGAACAGAGCTGTCGAGTGCATCATCAACGTGCCCAAGGGGGTTAGACAGTGGAGCAGTGAGCTGCTGTCCAAGGTGCGTGTGGCATGGAGAAATTGTTTCCTGTCAAAGCTGCTTCTCTTACTCAAGGGACGGAGCTGAAAAATATTTTATATTGCAGAAAAAGATGCATGAAAGAAAAGTAGCTGCTTTGCAGAATAATGAAGATAGTGATTCTGATATTGAAATGGGAGAAAATGAACTTCAAGGTAAATAAATGTTCTTTAAGTTTTTTTTTTAAAATAGTCATTGCAAGTTGACATTTATTCAGTTTAAATGTACTTCCTCCCCCCATATAATTCTCAAGTGATTTTAGATTGGAATATTAATCTATGAGCCAACGTTAAGTGTACAGAATATTAAGGTCCATGTATGTCAATATTCTAATATCTAATATCACCATTATTAATAGTCTACTTCTAGTTCGTTTGTCATGGCTGTTAGTGAATCACTTATTTCTGGTCCAATGTGAAGATGAGGATGGGCGGCGAGAAGGGTTTTACAGTTTTACAGTTCAGAGAGAAACTTGTCTCCGTCACAATGAATATTTCTTGACATTAAAGACATATTTTTGACCTATTAGGTGTCCTGGTTTGCTAACAAGCTGTGATTTTTGCTATAGATCCCATTGTTTTCATTTGTATTCTGTAAAATTAGGGAACACAGACATACAAGTTGCCAGTGACACTAAATGCTGTCTTTAGTCCTCGTATTCCTTTAAATCAACACCCACACCGCAGACACCGTATAAACCAACGAACCATAAGGAAGAAACTGTGGCAAGTTTCTCTTTAAAACGGTGTTACAGAGAGGGATAAAGACAGCTCAAACCAATTTAAATACAACTTACAATATTATTTATTTATTAATTTAAGGTAAAAAGTGTATGTTATTGTACTGATTTTATACCATTTGGAAACATTGCTTTACTTCCTAGAATAGTTTAAAATTCAGAATTTTTTAAACTCAAAGTATCTTCAGTCATGGATTATATCTTAAATTGAGGAGAAAAAATAATAGAAATTGTGTATCTATTTTCGTTATGACAAAAGAGAGTTAAAATAAAGAAGTAAGCTGCATCTTTCTTTAGTAACAGCTTTGAGATATAATTTACATATTAATACGTACATAGTACACATAACATAATTTGTGTAACATCCTTGAAAAGTGTAAAATTCAGTGGTTTTTTTTAGTATTTTTTTAGTATTTTCAGAGTTGTACAACCATCACTACTCTTTAATTTTAGAGCTTTATTTTTTTATCACCCCAGAAAGAACCCTGTAGCTCTTAGAAGTCACCCTGCATTCCCCTCTGCACCCCACTACCCCTGCCCCCGGGCCCCTCGCAGCCCCTGATCTGCTTTCTCTCTCCGTGGATTGGCCTATTCTGGACATTTCATATAAATGGGATAATACCATTCATGGTCATTTGTGGTTAACTTCTTTCATGTGACATAATATTTTCAAGTTTCATCTGTGTCATAGCATGTATCAGTACTTAATTTCTTTTTATTGCTAAATAATATCCCACTCTATGGATGTACTCCATGTATTTATCCATTGGTCAGTTGATGAATGTTTGGGTTGTTTCTACTTTTGGATTGTTATTGAAAAATACTACCATGAACATATGAGTAAAGCTTTTGTGTGGACATATTTTTTCTTTTCCTTTGGGATATACCTAGGAGTAGAATTGCTGGGTCATATGGTAACTTTATATTTAACAATTTGAGGAACTGCCAAACTGTTTTTCAAAGCAATCATGCCATTTTACCTTCCCTCCAGCAATGTATGTGGGTTCCATTTTTTTTTTTTTTGTTCATTCTCACCAACAGTTGTTATTGTCTGCCTTTTGATTATAGTCATTCTAGTGGTTGTGAAGTGGTATCTCATTGTGGTTTTAATTTGAATTTCCCTAATGACTAATAAAATTGAGCATCTTTTCATGTGCTTTTTGGCTATTTGTATATCTTCTTGCAGAAATGTCTATTCAAATTCTTTGCTATGTTTAAAAGAATTGAATTATTTGTCTTTTTATTGCATTATGAGTTATTTATATATTCTGAATATAAATCCCTTATCAGATATATAATTTGCAAATATTTTCTCCCATACTGTGGGCTGTCTTTTCACTTTCTTAGAGGTATCTTTTGAAGAATAAAAGTTTTCCTTTTGATTAAGTCCAATTTAGCTACATTTTGTTTTGGTTCTTTTGATTTTTTTTTTTTAATCTAAGAAACCATTGCTTAACCTAAGGTCAGGAAGATTTACTCTTATTTTTTTTTTAAAGTTTTAACTCATATTTAGGTCTATGATTGATTTTGAGTGAAACATGAGTCTAAATTCATTCTTTTGCATGTGAATATCCAATTATATCAGCATCATTTGTTGAAAAGATTATTTTTTCTCCATTGAATTTTTTGGGACCATTGTTGAAAATTGGTTAAGAATAAATGTAGATGTAAATATTTATTTCTGGACTCCTGATTTTTTTTCCATTAATCTTATGTCTAATCTTATTCTAGACCACACTGTATGGATTACTGTAGCTTTGTAATAAGTTTTGAAGTCAGCCAGTATGAGTCTTCTAAACTTTTTCTTCTTTGTCAAGATTGTCTTGACTATTGTGGGTCCCTTGTTTTTCCATGTGAATTTTAGAATCAGCTTGTTAATTTCTATAATAAAGGCAGTTGGGATTTTTACAGAGAATTGTGCTGAATTTATAAATCAATTTGGGGAGTATTCAAATGAAATTAAAAGGATTTAAATAATACAAAGTGTGTCCTCTGATCATGATGGAATGAATTAGAAATGAATAACAGAAGGAGATTTTAGAAATTCGCAAGTATATGGAAATTAAAAAACATACACACAAATAACCAATGAATCAAAGAAGAAGCCACAAAGGAAGTAAAATTTGTAGTCTTAAACACTGATATTAAAAAAGAATATCTCAAATCACTAACCTAGTCTTCTATCTTAAAAAACTTATCTTCAGACCGGTTCCCGCTCACTGGCTGAGCGAGGCGTGGGAGCAACACCGAGTGTTGCGATCCCGTTGCCGGTCCCCGGTCCGGTACGGGGGCAACACTGAGGGTTGCAATCCGTTGCCGGACACGGAAAAAGACAAAAAGACAAAAAAACAAAACAAAACAAAAAAAAACTTATCTTCAAGTTCACTGATTCTTTCTTCTGCCAACTCAAGTCTGTTGTTGACC